GCGGTACGAACAACTATATTTGAAAAGTGAACTATTTGTAATTTCATTATCAGCATGTGTGTATTCAGCACTCGAACCTTGTGTGATCAAGCAACTCGAGCTGAAAGGTCGGTCACCGCAGCGCTACAATCCCAAATAACAACCTACCCCTCGATCAGTATGTCAAATGAAGGGGGGATTACCGACGGATCTGTAAGTGTTTGATAAGGAGAAACTGAAGGATATGACGTCGTAAATGCGTGGCTTGGAACCTGCAGTTCCATGTGATTTCTGGGGGCGTAGAGGATGTCTCGCATTAATAAAAGACTGGTGGTAAAAAGAAACACCGGGATTAGGCTACAAGGGTTCAGGAACGACGATCGGACCCTCCTGAAACAGAAGGCGGGCCTTCTCACAATTGGACGGGATATTCTAGTGGCCTAACCGCTACCCCTGTTCCGGGTTTGTCTGGGGTAGAGTGGCATAATTAGTTTCATTAGCTCCGGCGGGGAAATTTCTTCCCATTGGCTGCCTAGTACATAAACTATGCTGCAGAACCACCCTCCCAGCTTAAATGGTTTAGGAATACTTATTCAGACACGGCATTATTGTGTACCGATCGAATATCATAAGAAAGAGTTGTGAAATCTCCATTTATTGGAGGATAAACGAGGAACTCGTTCACGGAAACATCGGAAGCACTTTTCCTTGCCTCGGAGACTACCATCCAGCCCTGACTGCTATATATAAGGGTACTTGATCCCACTTAGCAGCACAGGGAAAAAGAAACATCTAAAACATATTATCAAGAAAGTTTATACATCTCGAATCGCAATGCCCAGGCTCCTCAGCGCCTTGGTGTTTACTGCCCTGGCAGCATGCACGTTGGCTTCACCAATCGCCGAACCTACTGTCACGGAGGCCCCGAATGCAAATCTAGCAAAAAGAGCTACCAGTTGCACGTTCTCCGGCTCTAATGGAGCATCTTCTGCGAGCGCTAGTCAGAAATCATGCTCTACCATTGTTCTGTCAAATGTCGCCGTGCCATCGGGTGTAACTCTTGATCTCACTGATCTGGAAGACGATACCACGGTAAGGCCAAGCAAATATGCGTTACTCATTTTATTATATTTTTTCCACATCTTCGTTTTCCCTTTCTGCTCATCTCGTCGTCCTTTCCCGGACTGTGCTAAGTAAACATCCAAGGTCATTTTTGAGGGCGAGACTACTTGGGGGTATAAGGAATGGGATGGACCTCTGCTCCAGATATCGGGAACAGGAATTACCATCGAAGGTGCTAGCGGTGCCACTCTGAACCCCGATGGATCGCGTTGGTGGGATGGTGAGGGTGGCAATGGTGGAAAGACGAAACCTAAGTTCTTCTATGCCCATGATTTGACCTCGTCAACCATCACGAATCTTTACATTGAGAATACACCAGTCCAGGCTGTGAGCATCGACAATGCCGATGGCTTGACTATCACGGATATGACAATTAACAATGAAGCTGGTGATACTGAAGGGGGTCACAATACCGATGGATTTGATATTGGCGACAGCAATAACGTCGTGATCACGGGTGCCAATGTGTATAATCAGGATGACTGCGTTGCAGTGAACTCGGGAACGGTATGTCATTGGAAAGCTCAATATGCTTAGTCAAGATGCTTACAACCGCCAGGACATCACGTTCGAGAATGGAGTTTGCAGTGGAGGTCATGGGCTGTCCATTGGAAGTGTTGGAGGAAGAAGCGATAATACCGTAAGCAAGGTGACCTTCAAAAACTCAGAAGTCAAAAACTCTGTCAATGGTAAGGAAGCACGCGAGTTCTTATGCCCACCGGACGTTTCTGAACTAATGAAATACAAATTCCAGGTATCCGGATTAAAGCTACCGAGGGAGATACTGGAGAGATCACCGACGTGACCTACACCGAAATCACATTGAGCTCTATCTCCGGGTAAGTCAAAAAGTTGCATACAATTCAGCACTATGGGTATTAACGGCAGTGTCTAGTTACGGCATTCTCATTGAGCAAAACTATGATGGCGGCGATCTCAAGGGCAGTCCGACAAGCGGCATTCCTATCACAGGTCTGACTGTCGATAATGTCTCCGGCAGCGATGGGGTTGATTCGAGTGCTTACAACGTCGTCATTGTCTGCGGCAGTGGCGCCTGCTCCGACTGGACTTGGACTGACGTTACTGTTACGGGAGGTAAAACTTACGGCAGCTGTGAGAACGTTCCTTCGGGCATCAGCTGCTAGTGACACCGTTAAGGATGAATCCAAGTTGTGCTCTGTAAACACTGACCAGTTGATGTTACTCAATATGAATATTTCTCGCTGTCAAACATGCACCCACATGTGCAGGATGTGTAGAACAGAGGGTTTTCTGATTCATTCCTCGCCTACCACCTATTTGGTTGCTTTCTCTAGATCTGCAGCCCACAAGGCCGCCCCAACGGTATTCGTGAATGAAAAGAAGATAGAGGCAAATGGCACCATCTCAAGCATACACGCTGCAATGCCCAGTCTGAGAGTTGGTTAGCATCATGTACCATCCATATGGACACGAATTGAAAAGATATGACTTACCCCGTGTATGCCCCTCGGTTTTTTGTGACCCACTCATCCTGCTTGATAGAGTCCCACCCTTTTAGCTGGAAGTAGCGCGCATGTAGCGCCGGACCAACCCTCTTGCCCTGCACAGCTACGTATAGGGCGGTTCCGACAACGGGGATGAGATTCAAGGGCAGGTAGATCAACGATCGCAGAAGCGCCTGTGGCCTCATACGCGCGAGGGGTCGAGTCAGAGTCTTCCCTAGCCTTGCCACAGCGGCTCTTCCTCCCGACCGAGATTTTATTTGGCGTCCTTGTGCGACAAGAGACTCCTGGTCGCGGGCAATGAGGGTGCCATCAAAAGTATCAAGGAGGGCATCCTCGCCTAGGAAAGAGCGCGAAAGAATGTTCGTGATGGTAGAGCTTTCGGTAAGAACGAGCAATCCTGCAGAGATAGCGGCCAATGGGCCACTGGTAAAGGCCATGATGGCCAACTGAGGCACATAGGTGAAGAAGAACATGAATGTCGTGACGCCCATCCCTAGACTGATGGTCCGCCCAGCACGAGAAATAAAAGGGTCCCAGAGATCTTTATGGGTTGCAAAATAGATTATACCCTAATCATCTCATTCAATGCATGTTCCAGCCTGCGGTGGACAGACTTCATTGAAAAAGGGGCTTACCTTGAATGGATACAGGTATGCGCCGGACTTGACAACATCTTGAGAGGCTGCCTTGATGTCCTTGGCCTCGGTGAGGACTGCTTCTTTAACTTTGTCGGACATAGCGATGCCAACGTTTGGTGCCTTTAGAACGGAAATGGTGCTGAAAATCGTTGAACGGGGGGATTCGAGGAAGTTCCCACGCAAGGGACAATGACATCATCAATAATCATCAACCATCACACACCCTACTTCATTGTTTTCATACCACTCAACCCTTTTTAAACGTTTATGGTTCAGCTAAGATAATCGCTATTGTTATATAAAGTTACTTAGTGGACGAAGTAGAATAATATAGCCCAAAGCTCGGCGACTTATGAGCAAGATGACCATTCGCTAAACGAAGCAGTCGTTCTTCGTCAATCACAGATCCTCTCTTTATAAAATCAGTAGAGGGTGGAATGTTAGACAAAATAGTTTTACTTTCGCAAGATTTGCCAGATCGTTGACTTTCGTTTGGTCAGTTTGCGCAAACCTCGCCGACGGTCATGGAATCAAAGGCAGCACTGTAATCTACAGGGAGTTAAGACAATTTCTTGCCGCAGATGTTCCATATTACTACTGGTTTTTACGTGGCTGCCATTTGCCTGCTACACTCGCGCGGAACGGGATTTGTGAGTGGATGTTTAGCTCTCCGGGGAAATATTATTTGAGAGTTTTGGCGACCTGGAAGACTCATACCGGGCATCACATCAAACTTTGAACTAAAAGCAAAAGTTGGAGATGCGCGCAAACGAAGCGCATATTCAAGAATTGAATAAGGCCCGAACTGAACGAAACGCCCATCATTCGTCTCAAGCCATTCATATGGAAGAGGCTGCCGACGGGAGTGAGTTTGTTTTTGCAGATTATATCAATTTTTACGTTAATTTGGGTATTTCCGAGGGTTAAAAGAAACCCTCTGCTGATCATGCTCGTGCTGTTGGACCCTGATTGCATTGAAACTCACATTCCCTCGGGTATTCTCGGACGTAGAATAGGGATGTCATAGATGAACCCTAATAGTTGGAGATAATGCGAATGTGCCATAACTGGAACAGGTAATTAATTAGTGACAAGTTGGTGCTTGTTAGCGGCTAGATCGGTAATCACAGAAATTGGGACGAATGTAGCGAGCAACGTTTTGATCAAAATGCGCTTCTCGTATAATGGGAAATAAGCTCTGCGGGACACCCCACTTGTCAACAACTCTCGTGTGGGTCTGCAATGGTGCGATTTTCAAGCTGATGGCATCATTCATCGCCCTGTGCTACAGACCAATTAATCTCGAACTTTACCGCCCGTAAATAATATTCTACGGGCTAGACCCATGGAAATCACGCGTCAGGGCCTCCCGCTTTAACGTTAAAGAATGCGGCAGCCAATGCCCATGCCTCGCTTGCAGCAGTTTTGTGTACAGAATGGCGTATAGCTTTCCCCACCACGTGTTGCCTGGAACTGTCCACAGTACGGAGTATGTGGCGCACGGAAGAAGCGTTTAATCGCTGTCTGTTCCTGCCTATTTTAGATCGTTGTATCAGCGGCCTACACTTAACGATCCCGGGCACTTTGACATGGCATCTTTTTGCTTTCCGATCACGCAAGACGCCACCGAAATCTAAGTTCGTACTTACCGAGATTTATCTTCCAACAGAGGGATCCCCGTATATATATCGCTTCTTCCTTCACTATTCTGGATCCCACACCTACAGCCCCCTTCGATTCCTACGTTCGCTGTGCGCTGCTTCGTTCGTCCAGCGCCCCAGGAAAAATGGGAGAGAAAATGTCGACTAAAATTGGCCATACTCTAGCCAAGGGCCTTGGGATTAAGCTGGCTGCTTATGAAGATGCTGCCACTGACCCAGTCACACGCGGAGAGTCGGCATTCTCTGTTGGCACCGTGGACACATCCCCGTACCAGGAGCTGGAGCCGTCCACCGGCGAGTGGATCCGCGAACACACTCCATCATTCTCTGACGTCGGCCTGTATTTCTACAATCTATTTCCTTTTACGCGCTGGATTGGTCGCTACAACACCCAATGGCTGATCGGAGACTTGATTGCTGGTACGTTTTGACGCATAGTTGTCAAATAACCCACTGATGAATTATAGGCATCACAGTGGGAGGCGTTGTCATCCCGCAGGGTATGTCTTATGCTAAGCTCGCGAATCTGCCCGTGGAATTTGGTCTCTATACCTCCTTCATGGGGGTCCTTATCTATTGGTTTTTTGCTACATCCAAGGACATTACTATTGGTGTGAGTGCTGAAGATTGAAAATGACGAAAGAGTAAGAATTCGCTACTGACTCTCATTCCATTTAGCCTGTCGCAGTCATGTCAACATTAACTGGAGAAGTGATTACGAATGTTCAAAAACAAATCCCAGATGCTTCGCCTATCATAATCGCGCAAGCCCTCGCGATAATCGCTGGCGGTATTGTCTGTTTTCTGGGGCTTGCTCGGCTTGGAATCCTTATCGATTTCATTCCACTGCCAGCCATTTCGTCATTCATGACAGGAGCGGCACTAAATATCGCCTCGGGACAGGTAGCAAAATTGCTAGGAGAAACTGCCGATTTCAGCACACACGGACCGACCTACCAGATTATTATCGATAGCCTCCGTTATCTTCCCACTTCCCAAGTTGACGCCGCTATGGGTCTGACAGCTTTGGCCATGTTATATGCTATCCGGTCAGCGTGCAACTACGGAGCGCGAAAGCACCCACATCGTGCTAAGCTCTTCTTCTTTCTGTCGACACTTCGCGTCGTCTTCGTGATTCTGTTTTACACCATGATCAGCGCGGCGGTGAACTTGCATCGAAAAGATAACCCAGCATTCTCTGTTCTCGGCACCGTTCCTCGGGGATTCCAAGACGCTGGTGTTCCTCAAATGGACCCTAAGATCATCCGCGCTTTCGTACCCCAACTGCCGGCTGCGGTAATTGTTCTTCTTATAGAACATATTGCCATTTCTAAGTCATTTGGAAGGGTCAACAATTACACTATCAACCCTTCGCAGGAGCTTGTCGCCATTGGGGTGTCAAACCTGCTCGGTCCCTTTCTTGGTGCATACCCTGCAACCGGATCCTTCTCCCGCACCGCCATCAAGTCTAAGGCTGGTGTCCGCACGCCGTTCGCTGGAGTTATCACGGCAATTGTTGTGCTATTAGCCATCTACGCGCTCCCGCCTCTATTCTTCTATATCCCGCAAGCATCTCTCTCAGGAGTCATTATCCACGCTGTTGGTGACCTTATTACCTCACCGAACACTGTATATCAGTTTTGGAGGGTTTCTCCAATTGACTGCATCATTTTCTGGATTGGTGTGCTTGTCACAACTTTCACTAGCATTGAAATTGGCATCTATTGCACAATCTGCGTTTCGCTGGCAGTTTTCCTTTTCCGGACAGCTCGGGCTCACGGACACTTCCTAGGCCGAGTATCAATCCACTCGGTTGTTGGAGACCACCTGGTAACCAGCGATGAGAAATCCATGGGCTTGCAAACCCCTCCAACTCCACCTGATGACAAAGACTACCAGCGTTCTATCTTCCTCCCCATGAACCATGTTGATGGCTCCAATCCAGAGGTCGAGGTGAAGCAGCCATTCCCAGGCGTGTTCATCTACCGATTCACAGAGGGTTTCAACTACCCGAATGCCAATCACTACACGGATTCCTTGGTCCAGACCATCTTCCAAACTACGAGGAGGACAAACCAACAGGCCTACCTTAAACCGGGTGACCAACCGTGGAATGAGCAATTTCCAGTGGTCGGCGAGAATGGAGTTGCCCGCGACGCCCACCTGCCACTTTTACAAGCTGTTATACTGGACTTCTCGTCTGTGAATAATGTGGATATCACCTCAGTCCAGAATTTGATAGACGTTCGCAACCAATTGGACCGCTGGGCATCACCACGGACAGTGCAATGGCACTTTGCGCATATCAGCAACAGGTGGACAAAGAGAGCTCTCTCTGCAGCTGGATTTGGGTATCCGAGCCCGACGTCGACGGACGGTTTCCATCGTTGGAAACCAATCTTCAGTGTGGCTGAGATTGAGGGTAATTCATCGGCTGCTGCACATGCTGAAATTTCCACCAACCAGCGCCAATCCAAGGTTTCAGACCTGGAGGCCAACACGAAGACCGTAGTATCCGCTAGTGGAGTGGAGGAGTGGTCTGACGGAAGTGGTAACGGTCACGAAAGCAAGTTGTCCGACGATATCAGCGTCAGCAATGTCAGGAGCCGCAAAGCTGCCATCGTTCACGGCATGAATAGGCCCTTCTTCCACAGCGATCTGACCAGCGCACTTCAAAGCGCGGTGGCGAATATTACTGAGGCCTCATCCAAGGACTGATTTATGTTTCTGTCGTGATTTTGTATTGGGCCTGGTTCTCGTTTGCTTGGATCTCGAGAAGACTTCTTATTACCCTGGTCCGAAGTGATATACGCGTTTGCTATTAATTTTAAAATCAAAAATGCGCATCGTGAACAAAGTTAAGTTTCTAGAAACTGTTGTAAGCATCTGGCACACAGGAGAAGAGTTGATGCGAGTACGACTGAGTGATGGAAAGGTTTTGCGAGACGATCCATAGGATACACTAGTTGGGAAGTAGCAAACAGGTGACTGCGTCAAATTATGTTTAAGTAAGGTTGTTTCATTGGCAAATGTACTAATTGATTGACTATGGTTAGATTGAAAAATTCAAGCCTGACCCGATGTTTACCGTCCGAAGACAAAGTGCAACATAGACTAAAATAGTATACTATTTCTATATTTTTATATCTGCATGGACTACGCGATGCGACTAACGAGGGTTCTTGAGAGCGTTTCCAAAATAGGACTAGAGCATGTCAGATAAGGGCGTGGAAAACAACTCACGGGTAAGCAAGTCAGTCCTCGGTTTGGGCACACCATCGTGGGTTCAACAACCCTCGTCTAAACCAAAATGACCGACAACAACCTGCATTTTCGTGTTGCAACTCCAGAAGATGCGGTGCAAGTTCAGCGACTAGTGCAATCGGCGTTTCGCGCTGAAGACAGCCGACCAGCGTGGACCGCAGATGAGAAACTCAATTCGAGCTTTTCCATTGCAGTCAAAGAGATCCTGGCCACGATCACCAACCCAGATACTGCATTTTTGATGGCCACTGACAACAATGCCACTCTTGTGGCCACTGTCGGGGTTTCTAAGAAGGCGGCTGACCGCGGTCGCCTCTTTATGCTCGCAGTAGACCAGCAATACCAGCGCGGCGGTGTTGGCCGCCGGGTACTTGCTTACGCTGAGGATTACTCCCAAAAGACTTGGGGCATCACGAACCTCGGGTTGAACGCGCTTTCGACGCGCCAGAATCTGATTTTGTGGTACATACGCCGCGGCTACCGCAAGACTGGCGAAGAAACACCATTCCCCCGTGAGCACTTCAAAGATCTGGTGTTGCCGGATGACTTGTGTTTTGTGGAGCTGGAAAAAGACTTAGGCACAATTCCTGTTGTGGAAGGACCTGAATGAATCGGCGATATTGTTGTAATGGCACACGAAGCCAATGGGAGTGAGACGGAAAACTTCGGGAAGAGCGAGAAGAAGAACACAAAAACGCGACCAATATTGTGTTCCAACGGAAATATTTCATCTTCACTGAAGGCAGGAGGTTAGGTGGCAATGCCTACCATACCTGAGTTGAGGCGCTGTGATCTCCAGGAAATGCGGCAGCCATTGGGTCTTGTTACAGAGTTTCTGTGGTATTGATGGTCAAGCGGATTATTCTCGGCTTCAGGCTCCAGCTTTGTCTGTCAAGTTTTTCCCTTTTGCTCTTTATACACACTCTGAAGACTTCCGCAGATTAACGTCAGTGATTCCTCAATAGGACTCGTTAAGTATGTATAAAGTTAACTGCAATGGATATTCTGTCCAATTGACCCCCACACACCGAAGTTTTAGCCCAAAATAGCGACCCAGATGCATATCGAATCTATACGATGCGTTCAGGCTCGTTATATTGTCTCAAAGATGTCCTCAAATCATCAAAAAGATCTGTTAACTATGCTATAATTATGACGAAGTAAGTGTGGTCGGATAATCCACTCGCTAGATACTTTGCCCTATTGCAACCCTGTCTATTGACAACGTGCAGTGTACCTTGATCGCTACTGCACGTTCCATTTCAGGCACAACTCAATTGTATGATGTCAAGGTTGGCATATTCCCCGAGACAAAGTGGATCCACGGAAAGTTAAGCCACACTGAAGATAGCAGCACATTTTTGTTCTCGCAGATTCTTCTCTCCTGGAGCTAGGAACACTAAGGAGGCAGTCTCCACTTCTCCAAGACAACGACTGCTGATCGTTACTCGTACCTCCTACGACCTGATTTGTCCGAAACAATCCAGCTTCAGGGGTCGACGCCCGATCATCTTCTCAAACCGTGTTTACCATTAACCTGCGCCCGGTCTATCGCTCTGTCCTGCGTGAGCTACCTACAAGGCATACTCCGCGCAAAGCGACCGAATACGATTACGATCATTTTACCAATCCTGCTCCTCCGGACTAGTGTGGCGAAATCTCGGGCTGCAGAAGGTCGATCACTCCATGCCGGGTGCTACCATTGGTGGAGACGACCAATCGTGCCGTTTCCAAATTAGGAGGGTGCTGTCCCTGGTTGAGATCATACATGGAGATCTAGGCAGCAAGACATTGGTCACTCGCTTCAGCTGGTCTCATACTATTGCCAAGTTTGGCCTTCGGGATGGAGCATTCCGCGTCGGAGGACGGAGACCGGAGGCGTGTCTCTGATGAGTGGCTAAGCTTAGCCACACGAGTGATATAATTTTTCTAGGCTCCATCGATGTCATTGGTACCTGATTCAATCGATGATGATCGCTCGAGAAGGATACTTGGACGGGCGACTGCCCCGACAACACAGCAACAAGGTATAAATCGCGTCTCCCACCTGCTCGGATTTTCCTTCATCACGAATCAATAATAGACACACTCTTTCTTGTTGACAACTACCACTCTCTACATTTCACCTTTCGTTCAAGATGATGCTTTCCGCTCTCTTTTCCATCATTCCTCTGGTTGCGGCTCTGCCGTCATCCCACCACTCCTCGTCCAAGAGCTCCAATGGTGCCTTCGGCGTTGTCGCTGCCCACTCCGGCTCTCCCATTCACCTCGAGCCTCTGACTGCTTCCGGCACTAACTTCTGGCTGGGTGGCAAGTCTGCTACTTACTGTCCCTCGGAGGTGGTCCCCAACTGCCCCAACACCACCGAGACCGTGATCTACGGCGGGCACTACTTGGTATGCATCCTCTATCGGATACCACGATTATAGTTTAGAAATGACTTAACACCTCAATCAGGATGTCGAGGTCCCCGGTGGACAGGCTATTTACGTTGACCCCCGTGGAGCTCTGCGTTTCACTCAGGCACACTCGGCCTACGAGCCTACTGGCTCCTCGCAGGGCCCCTTCGTGTACACCCCTCCCAGCAGCCCTAGCAGCACCTTCGGCTACTGGTCCTACACCGGCTGGGGTGCCTCTGGCTTCATGGCCTGCCCTGTTCCGGCTAAGAACGCGACTGCAGTTCCGTTCCGTAGCCGTGCCGCCCCTGCCGCTACCAAATATCAGGTGTTCGCCGCGCTGCGCAACGCTACTGTTCCCACTGGCAATGTGAACGACTGCCTTGGCTTCGATGCCCTTGCTGTCCCGACCAACTCCACCAAGGGTATGGCCTGGGAGTACATCTAAATTGGACAAGTTTTGAGACCGCTCGACTTTCCACAAAGGATTGGAAATGAGTCCCGATGATCTTTGTCTGCAGCCAATTGCGGGGGCGCAATTGGGTGATCAATAGAAAAGAAGACCGAGAATAATGTATATATATCAAGCTTGCTTCGTGTGAGGTCAATATGTTTTGACCTTAACCACTGTCTGTCCTTCGCAATATATATCCCCATTTTGCTAAACTTCCATTGTCCATTGACCGAAAAAGTACTTTCCAGTTTAGAATTGGAGACAATAGACTCATGAGTAACCCAGCCACCTGCATCTACCCGATACAGACCCCCTTTTGACCAAGTCGAACAAGCATCCCTGTCGGTACCACATGCCAAGACATCCAACCTCCCTCTAGTCGGACATCCCTTTCCAGCTTACTGCCGACGATCTACACCAAGCAATGGGATTTTCCCCGTACCGTTGGACGCTCTTTCGCATTGGAAGTGCTGGGCCTCACGGAGCTGGCCTACTTTACACAGAATTGCGCTCATCCCCGTTCGCCCTACCCTTTTTTCAAGCTGATTCGACAAGACCACAAAACCCTGGCGATTCGGCGATTAAGCTCAACCAAGCCAATACAGCCATCTTGCCAGCACGAAAATGAAAGCTTCTCCCGCTATGAAGGAGGACGCTGGCTATGGAACGAAGAACAGGAGCTTCGAGACAGATACAAGGCCTTCAATGTCTCAGCGCTGCAAAACATCGCTGCCCAAGCAGTGGGATCGGAATCTTGTATCTCAATAACCAAGCTAGCAGAGGGGCAGTCCAACAAAGTATTTAGCCTGCTTATGGATGACGGCAAGAAGGTTTTGGCTCGCATTCCAACACCCAAAGCTGGGCCTGCATTCTACACGACTGCCTCGGAGGTTGCTACCATGGAGCTTGTGAGTTGATTGTGCGAATCTGACATGACACAGCTAATATACGGGTGTGGATAGGCTCGGGATTTTCTCAAGAATCCTATTCCCCGTGTATTCGACTGGAGTGCCACGGACGCTAACCCCGTAGAATCAGAATACATCATCATGGAGGAGGCGGTAGGGACCAGGCTTGGCTGTGTGTGGGATGATCTAAATGCCAAATCGATGGTCAAGTTCAAGACATCTTCGATTCGGTCGACCATTTGGTGAAACGAGATGGCTGGACATTCAACGAAACATTTGATGATGCCCTGGAGTTTTTCATTGAAGCCAGGAAGGCACTCCTCGAAATGTCCGCAGGCGATGAGAAAGAGGAAGTCGATAGGCTAACCCAATGGGTGGAAAATCGGAGACTTGAGCAGTCTAGACTAGTCAATTGACGGTCTAGCTGCACACTGAGCTTTAGAAGGGTCTGGGGTTGCTTAAACGGCCCGAACAGATTAATCTACTCAGTCCAATTTCAGGAATTATCAGGAAGTGAACATTTGACTTTTATACTGTCCAGTTATAAAAGACAATTTGATGGAGTAAACTTAATCGACGCAAATTCAATGACTGTTGTACAACAATGCAAGCGCATAAACATAAACATAAACACAGGGAGGGACAGATCACGTCATGGCTTCTTCACCGTAAACAAGCGACAGCAGAAGGAAAGAGGGAAAGGAAAAAGGGTATTCATGATCATCAAGCTCTCCGTGTCCAGCGAGATTCCTCCTCACAGCTTCGCAGCAGTACCAGCCGACGAAATCTCGTTGTAGAGCAAGCTAGTCAAGAAATCCGCATAATCCTCACCAGTAACCTGACCGGCAAAATACCTTGCTGCAGTCTGGAACTTATTGCCCTTGGGACCCTTCGAGGCCAGCGAATCAGCCTGCTCCTGCAGCAGACGCAGAGCGTAGCTCTTATCGACGCGCTTGCCTTCAGAAGTGGTCACGTTGTGGCGTGTCCACTGCCACAACTGCGAGCGGGAGACTTCGGCGGTGGCAGCATCTTCCATGAGGAAGTTGATAGGCACGCAGCCAATGCCGCGCAGCCAGCCTTCCATGTAAGACAGGCCGATGTTCAGGTTCTTGCGGATGCCGTCTTCGGTGATCTTGCCGGGGACATTGGTGTTCAGCAGGTCATTGGCAGTGATGTTGACGACGTCCTCGCGGCGCTTGAAGAGCTGGTTCGGCGTCGGCATGTGCTTGTTGAAGATCTCTGACGCGATCGCCGCCAGAGCCGGGTGCGCGACCCATGTGCCGTCATGGCCGGCGCGCACTTCCCGCAGCTTGTCGGCGCGCACGCTCTCCATGGCCTTGTCGTTCGCCGCGGGGTCGTTCTTCACGGGGATCTGGGCCGCCATGCCGCCCATTGCATGCACGCCGCGACGGTGGCAGGTCTTAATGAGCAGCTTGACGTACGCGTCCATGAAGGGGACGGTCATCGTCACGTCGGAGCGGTCAGGGAGGACGAAGTTCGGGTGGTTGCGGAACTTCTTGATGAAGGAGAAGATGTAGTCCCAGCGGCCGCAGTTCAGGCCCGAGGAGTGGTCGCGCAGCTCGTAGATGATCTCGTCCATTTCAAAGGCGGCGGTGATGGTCTCGATCAGGACCGTGCCGCGGATCGTGCCGCGGGGCATCCGGATATAGTCCTGGGACAGGTTGAAGACGTCGTTCCACAGGCGGGCCTCAAGGTGGGATTCCATCTTGGGCAGGTAGAAGTACGGTCCGTGGCCGCGGGAGACGAGCTCCTGTGCGTTGTGGAAGAAGTACAGACCGAAATCGAACAGGCCGCCAGAGATAGGCTCGCCGTCAACGGTGAAGTGCTTCTCGTCCAGGTGCCAGCCACGGGCACGGGCAATCAGCGTGGGCAGAGTGCGGTCGGTACGCAGCTTATATTCCTTGCCACCTTGCTTGAAGTCGACCTGGCGGCGGATGGCGTCGTACAGGTTGACCTGGCCGTTGATCATGTTGTCCCAGGTGGGCGCGCTCGAGTCCTCAAAGTCGGCCATGTAGGTCCAGACGTCGGAGTTGAGGGCGTTGACGACCATCTTACGGTCGGTTGGGCCGGTGATTTCCACGCGGCGGTCGACCAGACCCGGCGCTGGGGGGCGCCCTTCCAGGCATCGTTCTCGCGGATGTGCTTGGTCTCCGGCAGGAAGTCGGGCAGGTGGCCGTTGTCGATGGCGGCCTGGCGGTCGATGCGGCGCTGGAGCAGGGCCTTGCGGGTGGGATTAAAGGTGCGGTGCAGGATGGCCAGGAAGGCACAAGCTTCCTTGGTCAGGATCTTGCGGGCGTCATTGGGGATGGCGCCGAGGATGGCGACATCCTTGAGGTGGGACTCGATTTGGGCCATTTTGGGGCAGTTAGATGGGAAGGATAATCGTAATTAGAAGAAGAAAACGATGATTCAATCGGGCCACTTGACTATATACTACATACCACCCACTGCTCCGGCTGTCCGACCTGCGGAGATGGAATACGTCAGAAGCAGAAACAACCGCGGCTACGAGCTCACCCGCCTACCCGATAGCAAGCCAGCCAATGACCAGCTCGGCCAGGGTTGACCGCCTAACCCTAGGGACCAGCCACGAGAGTTCTCCGCGGGAAACCCCCCCTTTCCCTCTCGGCCGACGTTGACCTATCTGCCCTGCTCCCGATCGGGATGCGCCGCAGCCCGAGTCCTCTCGGCCTGATGAATGTTCGATTTCTGTCAGGGCCGACCGCGGGGTTTTATATGATTCTGAACGGGGGCCAGGTGGGATGACATCCACGATGCAGGCTGAGGCATGGCTGGCCATGATTCTCGTGGGCTCCTAACTCTTCCGTGAGAGAGTCAAACCCAAAGCTAAGCCGCGGTTGATTCATTGGCCTCAGGCTGACATCTCTGTCCGACTTGTTCCGGTGATGATGAACAAACTACATGTGATGCACATGTGATATGTGAGCCAAATCAAGAAATTGCCACTATTTACACTACATGGTATCGTATCATATCCTCTCAAACCGTCTCGATATAACGCTGCATCTCCCTGCGAGCATGTCAGTATATGTAATCCCAAAAGAGTAACGCAGATGGATCAACGAACCAGTCCGTCACGGCTTCCTCCCACAGGCGCACCTCGTGCTCCCGGGTCCCTCCAAAGTGGTCGACAAAGGCATCACCAAACACCTCCCGCGCAACGCTGTCCGGCCGCATGAACGTGGCCGTGGCCTCTTTCAACGACTTGGCCAGACGCGCGCCCGGGTCGCTTGCCCCGCCCATCTCCTCGCCCTTGGACAACGGGGGCACAGGAATGGCGAGCTTCTTCTCGACTCCACGCCATCCCAGCGCCAGAATGGCCGCCAGGACGAAGTGAGGGTTGGTGTCGGCGCCGGGCGTGCGCACCTCGAACCGGGTGGCCTTGGGGCTGGCGGTTGGCGGCGAGATCAGCCGAATAGATGCCGCGCGGTGTTCCAGGCCCCATGAGACCGTGACGGGGGCCCAGAAGTTCTCGACCAGCCGTTTGTAGGAATTGACCGTCGGCGCCAGGAGCGGCATGATGTCCGGTAACCCGTCCAGCAGCCCCGCCAGAAAGTGCCGTCCCAGGTCGGAGAGATGCGCGAGATCGGGATAAGGCGGGGATGGGTCCGGGGAATCGCGCAGGAAGGCATTCGAGCCGTCTGCGTTCACGAGCGAGATGTGCATGTGTCCGCTATTCCCGGGAAGTCCTTGACGCGGCTTGGCCATGAAACACGGCGTGATGCCATGCTTGATGCCGAATGCCTTGACGACGTATCTGAGAAAAGGGTCAGCTGGGAAACACTACCCTAGACCAAAGGACCATACTTGAACAGCCCGGCCTTATCCGCCATCTCCTTTGCCTCTCCGAATTGTAATGCCTGCCCACCGGACCGCCGATTAGCCCACGCTCCTCCAGCCCACTGCAGTTTTCAACTTACAGCCTCGAACACACCCGGCCCACTCTCCGTATGCCACCCTTCGATATCGCAGCGGAACTGTTCGCACGCATCAAAGATGCCATAGAAGTAATCCTGGTTATGAATGGGTCGCGTGATCGAGTATCCGAACATTCCCTCCGTCAATGCAGGCAGCGCACTCGCGGGGTTCGTCTGCAGGAAACTGGCCGTTGCGGACGCAGCGCGCTCCGGCGTGGAATAGTCGCCCGGCGCGCGGAACTGGTAGAACTCGTACTCGGCTGTGAAATGTCAGCACGAGAGCTTGTTGATGCCATTGTACCACCTACCTCCAGCCATGGCCCGATACCCCGCCGCCTCCGCCTTCGCCGCCGCGCGCTTCATCAATCCCCGTGGACATGCACACACCGGTTCACGCGTGTCGGGATCCAAGAAACTAACAAGGAAGAAGGGCACGTTGTCCTCCCAGGGAATGCGACGGAAACTGCTGAGATCCGGCACGGCCACCAGATCGCGGTACCCGTTCTCCTTGTTGCTGATGGCTAGCTCGCGGTAGTAGGTGGCATCGTGCTGGTCCCAGCCGAAAATCACGGAGCAGAAGCCGAAGCCCTCGGTCACGATGGATAGGAACTTCTCCTTGCGCATGAGTTTCCCGCGCAGGATGCCGTCCACGTCGACGCCGGCCACCTTGACTCGGCGGTCGTTTTGGAGGATGTGGGCGACATTGGAGGGGGTGACCTCGGGGTCTGTTGAAGACGACATGGTCAGGGACAGCTGAAGTGCTCGGTGCTGGAGGGGGAGTGACCAGTCGGTCAGCGTCTGTGCTCTTGGATATAAGATACTGACTTACCGGGTTGGAACGGATCACCCAGCTGGACACAGTCTTGCTTATCACTTATCAGCCAGCTCCAGCCAGGGTCTGCCGTCTCAACGATGCCACTGGAGGGAGATAACAACCAGCCATATCAGATCATGTGCTCAATGTCCGACTCCTGGCGCATTACGTAACTCCCCCCACGTGCCCCGCGGTATGTAAAGGAGCTGTGGTCGGTCTGCAACTGACTTCCACCGGTACCCTGACTAACTGGTGAGTACTTCGTGCACTCGACAATTGAGGAGAATCACTGTTAACCCCATTCTCCAGTTCAACACAATGTCTGCCACCGCTCCCCAAGGTCGTCTCCAAGGCAAGAATGCCATCGTCACCGGTGCAGGAGGGTATGAATCAATGACTAGCTATCACCTTCAAATCAATCTAACACCACCTCTCACAGTGGCATCGGCCTCGAAACAAGCATCCTCTTTGCCCGCGAAGGCGCCAATGTGCTCATGGCCGACATATCCCCACCTGCACTCGAGAAAGCGGTCGCGAAGGTGAAAGAGCTCGTCCCAAGCGCGGGCCGCATCGAGTCGACCAAGTGCGACGTGTCGAAGGAATCCGACGTGCAGGCCATGGTCGAGTCGCAGGATAGCTGGGGCGGCACGGACGTGATCTTCAACAACGCGGGGATCATGCATGCCGACGACGCCGATGCCGTGGATACCCCCGAGAAGATCTGGGATCTGACGCATAACATCAACGTCAAGGGCGTGTGGTTTGGTTGTAAGCATACTGTGCAGAGTCTGCGTCGGCATAAGAAGGCGAGAGGCAGTATTATCAACACGGCGAGTGTTGTGGCCCTGGTGGGCAGTGCCACGCCCCAATTGGCGTACACGGCCAGTAAGGGCGCTGTGCTGGCTCTGACAAGGGAATTGGCGATTGTGCATGCGCGCGAGGGATTCCGGTTCAATGCCCTGTGCCCTGCTCCGCTCAAGTATGTTTTTATTTTGCAAACCCGGTTCAAACGGGATGAACTCTTCTGACTGATGTTTGTGTCCATAGCACCCCCCTCCTGCAGGACTGGCTCGGTGACGACCAGCCCAAGCGGCACCGGCGCGAAGTGCACTTCCCGACCGGTCGGTTCGGCGAGGCCATTGAGCAGGCGCACGCTGTTGTGTTTTTGGCCAGCGACGAGAGCAGCTTTGTCAATGGGACGGACTTTGTCGTGGATGGCGGGATGACCAGGGTGAGTTTTGGAGATTATGAGATTGTGGGATTTATGTCAGGGTGCTAACTCCCCATCAGGCGTATGTGACCCCGGAGGGTCCAGCTGCTCCTGCCCCGCAGAATCTGGGCCGTTAAACTGGGTGTTGTGCGGACATTTCCACCATACAGAGCTGGGAGTAGATGCAGGGTGCCATGAGCTAGTCTTGACACGCAGTATTCAACAGAGTATTGGAATACAACAGATGTTCTGGTTCTTAGACAACCCTTGGTAGATCTATACTCTATAAACGAATTTACCCACCCTAATCCAACTTCCCACATAGTCAGACCGGTGAGCACGCGACCATAGTTATACTGAATACGAGTAACTGACTTTAATTGGAATCCAAGGCCAAAAAAAAAAAAAAAAAAAAAAGAAAAGTATACATGCAACAGTCAGGATTCGCTGGTGGTCACCCACCCAACTACTAACTGACCGGCGTGTGGCTTAAGTACGGCTGAGCGGACGGGAAGCCCTGTTCTCCACACCCTGTGGTCGCATGTATCAGTTTTGGAGTTAATTATGATAATATGCTAACTACAGAGCCAACCGACATCCACAAAAATCGGCCGCACACCTGGAGTTACTTCGGGAATTTGCCATGGGCCTAAGGCTGTAGGCAACTGGCACGGTGCTACCAGGTGGAATGAAAAGGGACATGCAATGGATTTGAACGTCTACCGGACCGAGGAGTTCATGGTTATCAACAAGAAATTGACAGACTCAGAATTCGAGCAGTCCGACTTCGCTGCTAACGGGGACTCTGGCTCTTTTGTTCTGGACGAGAATGGTGTGGTTAATGGTTTGCTGTTTGCAGATGTGAGAAATAACCATGGGTTAGTAGGAGTAGTTATGAGTATGGCGGATGTGCTCGAGTCAATTCGTCGGAAACTCGGAGGAGATGTTATTATTGAGCTACCAGTTTGACTTTGAGCTTTCTCTCCCCGTTGTACCACCAGCGGTAGTAGCTATTATCGTCACCAACAAATATGACCTTTGCTTTCTTACCTTAAACACAAAAAATTCCAAGGGCCCCAATTTGAAACCTCACTCCTCTCACACGACTCTCCTCCTCCCTCTCCTACCTTTCACAAACACAACTCATAGCGTACCAAGAAGCCTAGTAAGTAAATCAAGCATGCTTTTATGAAGGAAGGTACTATAATGAGGCTAATACGTATTTAGCAATAAGCAGCCTTAACACCCTAACGGATCCAACGATTAAGGGCACTAGTATGCCGCCCGGCATTTAGGCAAACCGAGCTAAGGACTACCAATAGGATCGCTATAGGCGACAAAGCGAAAAGTTAGGAACACTACTCAGATCATTGGAATCATTACCGCTACTACGCGAGCCGACGGTAAAATTCCCAGCCAGCAGAGGCAAGGCCACATAGCCGTAGACAGGTCCAAAATTCGATCTCTTTATCGGATCTCGAAAGACAAATAGCGAGGCGCTTTTAGTACAGTCGACCGGCGTGCTCCTCGAGGGTGATCAGGCATATGCTCACTACCGAGTAGGTGAGGGCGTATTCGATAGATGTATCTAGGTACCTACCCAACAGAATTGCGCGAACTATCAGGTTAGTGGTCGTTACAAGAGGTGTAGTCTAATGACTATGAACGAGGAGGAATCTACTACAGCAGGCACTAAGGCTCTACCGAAGCTAATCGACCTAGTAACGGCCGAAGAAGCCGAACTCGTCCGTCTTTTGACTCTCAAGCGCAAGGAGTTGCAAGATTTAAAGAACGCTATGATAACCCGGATGAAAGAGGGCTAGCAGACATCGTAAAGGAGGTTAGGGTCGATAACTAGTATCAAGAAATAAATAATTGAATTTTAGTGCTGCTACTATACTTGCACCGTACTTGCACTATGCTAGCGTGAATGCTGCCCGAATATCACGCGAATTATCACCTCCTATCGCGTACAGGGTGTCTGTTCTTTATCTATTTCCTTACCACCTGTTATTATCTCTCTCTTTCTCTCTCTCTCTCACACACACACACCCACCCCACCTCCATTCCACTCTCAGCTGATATTCCTGTTTCGCGCTGAACGATACTGAACACATTGCCAACACCATGGATAAGTAAGTCAACCATCACTTCCATACCAAGAACTCAATACTGATGTACTCAGTCGCACGCCCCTGCAAACCCCGAGTCCTACCCGAGACCGCGACCCGGACAACAGCTCTTCGCCAGCCGAAAGGCTCGCAACCCCAAAGCCCCTCGCTGGGGATACCATCGATGTGTAATATACCTCTAATCTAATCACTGCGTTCTCGGGAGTCCAGCACTAACATTCAAATAAATATAGCTTCTTCACAGGCCCGGAGAGACAGGAACTCGGAGTCCCTTACATAATTCCGGTGTCGGTTACTGCTGCGGCCGACCCCCAGGTCCCTTCAGCCTGGGCAGCTCTGATCAAGAATATGCCCTTCCAAATGGACGTCAAGGGCCACCATCTGAAGAGCAAGCTCATCGAGAGATCGCTTTCGATGGAGAGCCTCCGCGAGCCTATACTGCGGTATGGATCTCGGAACAAATGGAGTACGTCAGTCCTGTTCAACAAGATCTCCAAGAGTCTCGCCAACATTGAAGCTACCCTGATGCAGACAGTGGGGACGATTCAATCCCGCGAAAATGAGTGCGTTCACTGCAAGGAAGAGGCGGGACCATTCTCCAACTGCGTGAAAGTGGAAGGCGTTGAATTCTGCGCAAATTGTCATTGGGAGAAGCTGGACCTACGCTGTTCCTTCAATTCGCAGTCCTCTACTCCAAAGAGACGCCGAACTCTTCCGCATCCTACCGATGAAGAGATACAGAATAAGAAGGATCTGATAGACAGTGTGCGGACCAAGCGCTATCTCTTTGAGAAAGAGTTAGAAGGACACCGTGTCGAACATCGGTCGCTTTGGCAGGAATTTCAGGGCGCCGAGGATGGAAACGTCGACCAAGGTAGTGTCTCAATTTCCTTCATGTGCGATTTCCGCATGAAGCTTCAAAAGATGGAGGAGGATTTCAATAAATTGATGGCTAATAGCAAGGCTATTCTCGACGCATCGGAGGAGTTATGGACGGCAAGGGGCTAGAGTATGAAGCGTCATTCGCGGGCGAGTTGATCATAAAGAATCAGTTTCGTCCAATTCATCAGATATCATCAAATTCAGCTCTTTCAATTGTTCTCTCTACTTATACACATTTGCTGCGTTCATTATGATTCATGGATTTTATGAATTGGATTCCTAGATGCCATTTGCTTTATCTCCACGACCTCAAATATCTGCCAGCAACTGATTAAGACATTTAAGGCTCCAAGTAATGATATTTATTATCAAGACCACTTTCAAATTCCACACCCTTTTTAGTACATATTTCTTTGCTCATAATGTACTACTATTACACAACGGAGAGAAAATTGGATCTTTCAATACCCGTGATTAGCCGATGCACAGGGTGCAACAGAGCTATAAATATCTATAACTAGTACTAAGTGGGAGCAATTCTGATATTTTCATTATTGATTCATCTATAGCATCAGTTATGACTGCAACAACGCATCTACAAGGAAAAATTCTTCACGGGACGGGAAGCCCTGTTCTCCACACCCTGTGGTCGCATGTACCAGTGTTGGGGCTAATGATAATCATATGGTAATTATAGAGCTAAAGTCTACACATGTAACAGTTTCGGAGTCAATTATAATCACATGGTAACTATAGAGCTAGCCTACAGGCATAAGTTATCATGAATAATGATTGAATCAAGGTTTAAATATAATCATCAAATCCCAAACATACAATAACGATCGAACCACGGTCGCATCTCACCAGCTCACGTCATGGAAATTCAGCACGGCACTTTCCCCGCCTCCATCCCGCATTCCGTGCCCGAACAATCCACTCCATCCCTTTAAACCGAGGATGGCCGCACACTGCGCCACCTCCCTCACCACTACCGGACCACTTCCTTCTTCCCTTCTCAATCTACCTACTCTCATCCATCTCAGTCCGTCGGCGGTCTTGAATGCCATTATTCTATGACTTGATTCAATAATTCAACATGTCCAATCTCACCTTCCCCGGCGCAAACAAACCCTCCTACCGGCCAGTCCCGAGCAGTGGACCCTCCTTCAAACCGCGGACTGGTGGTGCGCGGCGGTGGTACGTTAGCCCCTTAGCCCCCGATTCATCAATTGCACCCCCCATATTCTCAGGCCCCGAATTGAATTCAAGTCTCTCTTGATGTGTCTGTATGTGGTCGCGTGCTCAGCTAACAACTGCTTCTTGTGTTTGTTTAGGTATATCGCTACCATCGCTACAATTGGACTTGGTATGCTGCACTCCCTCCCCTCCCTCTCCAATCCCGTGGATTAGCTATATCTGTATAATTAACAATATACTGATCGATGGACTACTGTGACAGGCTTCGGCGCGTACGATTTTTACCTCTCCGCACTATCCCGCCGAGAGCAGCAACTCCGCGAAGAAGAGATGCAGTTCGCGCGGAATCGGCAGCTCATGGACGCGTATGGAGATAAGGAGTCGTTGCGCGATGTGCAGCAGGCACTGGATGCTTACGAGCGATAATGCTGTGTGATGTGGTGTGGATTTAGGGGTATGACAGAATGGATGGTAGATTGTTCTTGGGCGCTGGTCGTCTTGGGGAATTTATCTATTCTTTTTTTGGCGTTGGTGTTGATTCTGCTCCAGGGATGCCTTCAGAGTGGATTGCATTCGTGCTTTTAGGACTAGTTGTTTGCGGCATTCATTGGATGGCGTTTCATTTGTTACCTCACAATCTGACAGTGTTCTACAACTGCTCTTTTTCTCTTCCACAGATTAGGATTACAATGTGGAAATAGGAGAGTAGAGACATTCCTATCCTCCATATATTTCCTATATATAGACTACAAGTAACTGACTTTAATTGGAATCCAAGGCAAAAAAAAAAAAAAAAAAAAAAAAAAAGAATACATGCAACAGTCAGGATTCGCTGGTGGTCACCCACCCAACTACTAACTGACCGGCGTGTGGCTTGTCTGCAGCCAGTAGTCGGGTGGGTGTCACCCGGGTGAGTTTAGGGTGAGAAGTGGGTGAGCGTCGAGCGACCGAGGTGAGAAGGGTGAGTGCGCAATAAGGCAGGGTGAGAAGCCGGGTGAGAATCACCCTTCGTCGCGCGAACACCGCACTGACCCTCTCAGCTGAACTACGGCAGAATATTATTGGATTAGGTCCATTCTATCGACTATAAGCTGACTAAGTGCTGTCGGACTCCCACTCCTGGTCACGAGGACCCGCAATTCGTATCATAGTACAGCAGCTAATGTCATTTTCCAAGCGGGGTAGTTGGTAGGCTCGCATTAATCTACATGCGCACTTAATCCGATTCCCGGGGTAGACTACAGGTATCTTCTCTCACTCTTCGAGGCTGCACTGTGACGCACACCAGACATTTTCCCTAGAGAGAAGCCCGGAGTATCGTTGCAGCGAAATTATGCCTCCTCCGGCCGTCGACGATGCTGTAATATATTCGGAGAGTCAAGCGTCCTGCCACGGCTGTCGCCAACGAAAGCAGAAATGTTCCAAGGAAAAGCCATCGTGCTCCAATTGCAAGAGACTCGGTATGTTTTTCCTCTTGTGATTAATCTGCACATTTCAAGGTGTTGCTGCTAACCGTAGGGGAAGGTATTTGCTGCGTGTACGACGCGAGAAAACGCAAGCCAGGCCTCAAGACCGGGGCCGTGGAAGGCCTCTCGAGACGAGTGGGTACGCGACCCATGTGCAGCCATCTAGGATCTTATCATCTTTCCACGTACGCGGAGACACTAATTGAACGTATCACAGAGGCCCTCGAGGACGCTTTTCATAGCACACCAGGACTCGGCAGTGGTGCACCAATTGCTACTGAGACCAATGGCGCGTCCCCAGCTACAGCTTATCTTGCTGGCAGCATTAATACACTGGCAACGACGATCGAAAACCTGACAGCCAAAATCGACTCCCTTGAGAACGTGGCCGCCAGAGACAATCTTGTACCAGCATCTCCAACCTCACGAACACGGGCTTCGGCAGAAACTAAAGATGGCGAATCAAGTTCGCGGTGGAAGCGCAGGAGAATTGACACTCATTATGATCAGTCTACATTCACTCCTGCCTCGTTCACGAATCCGTCCCGCCCGACTCCGAGATGTGGGTACACGAAGCTACCAGGCGAACTTCTCGACGATGTCGTTCACCTGTACTTTATGCGAATACACTATTGGATCCCCATACTACACTGGACGAGATTCAAGCATCAGTATAGACAATACGCCCTCAGGGGAAAGATGGGCGTTATCCTCAACGCTTTGGTTGTGGGGACTTTGAAGTATGTAAACAGAGAACAATACCATCTATCGGACGGGGACATAGAGCACATATCCTCGGAATGCCGGGAATTGGTCCTCTTGACAGCAATGGACTCCCTCTGTGTCGAGAATCTCCAGGCCCTCATCATACTAGCCTTTCTAGACGTGAGTTGCTTTCAGCCCCGACACGGTGCAAATCTTTCCGACCACAACTGCGCTGATTGTCTTCGCCCGAAGATCTAGTGCTGATTTCTCCCTGACTAGATCGGAGATGGCTATGCCTCGAGGGCGTGGTCTATCATAGGGTCTCTTTCTAGGACAGTCGAGTACTTGCAACTCAGTATCGAGGACGAATATGACAGAGCACCGCGATCTCTCGCACCGCTATCAGTTCTCCTACCACCTCATAATTGGACTGAAAAGGAAGAAAGACGGAGAGTGTTCTGGGTTATATTCATTATGGACAGGTACGATTCTCGTTGGGGCAGCGTTAGTCACTGGCATAATAGGTAGGCCACGGCTAACAGAAAATTGTCAAGGTTTTGTTCAATCACTACAGGGTATGCTAGACCTCACGGAGTCTTCTTTTCCTCTGTTCTGCTTTATATGTATTGATCCATTCTCATACTTTTGTAGGTGGAATACAAGCTTGACGGCCGATGACGTCTCTCGCAGACTACCTGCCGATGGGACATGCTGGTACCTAGAGACCCCAGTCCACACGCCCTATTTTGGAATTTGGGATACTTCGGCTGTCAGTATTGACACCTCGCTTGCTTTCATGCCTGCGATCGCGTCAAGAACCACGGCTCGAGACGTCGACGCCACGAAATCCACCAGTCCCGAGGATGGTAGCGGCGGTGCGCCGGCAATGACGGACCTAGAATCTATTGGTGGACTCGCCTACCTCATTGAGGCCACTGAGTCTATGAGGAGGATAGTAACTTACTTTCTTCGCCAAAACATCAACTTCCGCGATGAACGCCAAATCACGAGGTGGCTAACACGGTTTAAGGAGTTGGATCTCCGTCTAGTACAGTAAGGACAACACCCTTTATCTGCCATGCACTTGGCTGGTCCCTGTTCGTCCCCTGCATTAGTTACTCATGCTGACGGACCGTGGTATAGTTGGAAGATGTTTCTTCCCAAACGGTGGAAAGATCCAAACCATGTGCCTGATACATCCACAGGCCCAAAGTATCACGACCATGGCATGACCCTGGCTCACGTCATGCATAACACGTCCATAATCATTTTGCACTCTCGCATCGCATACTCTATACCACGATGGTACGACATTATTCAGCTGCCTAGCTCGTGTAGTGCCGAGACGTGCCGGCTAGCTGCCGTACAGACAACCAGTATCACGGCGAAGTATCTCAGTTTTTGCCCCGACGGGATCATAGTTGCCCCCCAGTTTGCCTTCTGCATTTTTATCAGTGCCAAGGTGCTACTTGGTAAGCCTGAATGAAAGCCCCCTATCTCGTGTCTCTTGAAAGAGCAAACGGGGTTAAGCACGCTAACATGACCTAAACAAACAGTGCATTCACGATACTACAACTTGCCTGTGCAGAATGAGTTCTGGACGCTGGTCGATATGCTACAGCAGATGGCGAAACGTTGGGCCGGTCTCGTGCGTTACGACTCTAGGTCTTGTGACAACGCAGCTGGGAAGTACGCCGAGAGGCTGGGTATGCTGCACGATAAATGCCAAAACGGCCCGGACTTCGGCCTAGATGTGCTCGACTACCCCAACGATTCGCTCCTCGCAATAGAGAAGAATTCTATCGAGGAGGACGGAGATTTTGCTCAGAATCTTCCAGAAGCCTCTGGCGGCCAAATGGTTACACCCACAGTACGAGGAACTACGCGTGACGCGGGCACACCAGAGCGCCTCATTACTGATTGGACTGAGAAGCCGTTCTTCATGGATTCACCACCACAAGAGGCACAAACCGCCTTTAGCAAGCAGAGTACTCAGGCCGCAGAATCGACCTCACCCTCTTTTATAGTACCAGATGCTCCTAATCCAAACTCACAAATGGGGGTGGGCATGTCATACGCTCCAGATGTAGAAGGCACGTGTGAGACGGAGAGCGATCTAGTGGCTCTCTCACAGACTTTCATGGAACCGAGCTTCGCGAGCATGGATCGAATCATTGGATTGAGTAATTCCTTTCTAGAAGATCTGATATAATCGGGGAGGAATATTTTTACAGCGCTAGTCCTTGGAACATCCATGCTGCCGAAGCCGGAGCTGAGAATTTCGACCTTTGCTGAAGAGCACTTGTATCGAGTTGTGAAGTACATGACATCGTACATTGGCGTCATTTTACTCGTCCATGCTCATACATGGAAACGTCATATACATACGAACTGATTATCGGGTCAAGGGAAAATTACCCCGCGAAAAGGAATGAAATGCCGCCATTTTAACTAGATGCTAAACGGTTTTGCTTACTGGCGGCCCAAGGTAGCTTGGATGTACACCACCCAGATCTATCACGACCTTCTCCAAGATACAATTAGAATTCCTCAACCGGACCTTCAAGGTGTGAGTTCCAACCTCCGACAGGTTGATTGTATGTTTCCTCGTCCACACCAACCTAGGACACTCTTCCATCCAGCCGTCCGGCAAGTCTCCAGGAGGAAGTTCGCCAGGTCTTGGTGCGTCTGGGACCAGGCGGTAGGAGGTTGACGCAAGCGCAGAGTCAACATCCTCGTCTAGCCGAATGTCGTACTTGAGCGGATTTTTCGGGTCGGTGTTGAACGTCATGGTGAAATAGAGAATCACCGTTACTTCGGGCGCGGGCGTGTATGTGAAGAACGAATAACACAGGAAGTCAAGTTTATCCAGGTCGGTAGGTGGCCGTGCCAACAGGACGCCGCCAGCGCCGGTTCGACCTATGTATTTGTTGATGGTGTATGTACCGCTGTCACTCTTATCGAAATTCGTTGCGCTGATGGAAACGTGACGGTCGCTTTCGACAGATCCTGTGAAACCGACAGGAGGTGCCTGACGCTTGATGATAGGTACGTGAACGTACTCGAAATCGCCCTGGTCCGAGCGAATCTCTATGAGGACCTCGTCGTTGTATGAATCAGACACCAATGACCAGTCCGCCACAAAGACATAGATACGAGTAGCCTCATCCTCGGGTCGAAGAAAACCCGCAGACTTCGTGATTTTCAACCAGTCTGCGCTTACAGACTTGATCTTGGCCGTCCAATGAAGTTGTTCTGTGCTATGCGAGTATAGCTCGAACCATCTTGATGCGTTGCCCAATGGCTCCAATGGACTTGTTGTGACGGAAGGTATTCTATCGGCTCGAGATGGCCGGGTTAGCTCGTGTTCCTCACAGCAAAGCCCCGAACGATAACCGGCATGGCCCTCCACGGCCACCCCCATTGATCCGACGATATGACTCGCCTTCTGACGGGTTTGTACGTAGCACAATCCAGGAACCATGTCTCGGAAAGGAGCTATATCTTGATCCCATCGGTTGCCGTAGTGCGGTTGGTCCATGATGTGATTCCACTTGCCGCCGAGCAGCTCGTGGTATTCGATCGACAGATCAAAGTCGGCCTCGAAGAGCTGTAAGACTTCTTTTGCGTACTTGTTGGCTACTGAACGACGCTGTAGTGCATAGAGCTTATTTTTACCCAATGTCACTCTTAAGGCGATGTAGATTTGCGTCGCTTTGATCGGATGCAAGATCAATTGGTAGACAGCGGGCTTCAGCTCGCGCGACGCTCTCTCGTGGACTCGAGTTGCTCGCCCTAAAAGATCAGACCACCTTTGCAGCACAATGTCCGCCTCATCATAGTACATGACGGAGAATGTATCATCCTCAATACACTCGTGCTTTCCGAGGCCCATCAGCTGATCGTATTCGAATAAAAGCTGCGAGCATTCCTTGGCGTCCTCGGGACGAAGATTCAAGAAATTGTCGGCAATGAACCTGTCGAAGAAGACTGGAATTTGCGAGGGCTCTAATGCATGGGTGTTCCATGCTTTCATCATGGCCCAGCTCAGAGGCACTTCCATCGGCTTGATGTCGCCCACGTTGAAGATCCAGATCCGGTCGCAAGCGTTGCTGTAGGCATGGTCGAGTTGATGCCACGCCTTGGATAAAGAATTGCTATTCAGCCACTTATAGCTTCGTGGATGACCAACGAATTCGAAATGATAATAGACCTGCGAAAGAATGAGGTTAACATCGGAGTGGTCGTTTAGTGCGTGCGATGAGTAATAGATGATAGGTAAAACACAAAACTCACTCCTCCTCGTCCTGATCGGTTCTTCTCGTTGCCAATTAGCACGCGACGAAGGCTTCCTTGATTGTCATCTGCGAGAAGCAGAGTGATATCCTCGGGTACTTCGAGCCCCGCGTCGTATTGCGTGAGCACTTCCTTATATAATGCGAGAACCTCTGCTCAGCATTAATTAGTAATATGCAGTAAGTTACCGTGTTTAAATTTTGTGCAGTTGGACTTACGGTTTTCGCCAGTTTCACTTCCGTATACGTCTTTGATGATGGATCGCTGAGTATCGAGGACTTCCCGTAGAGTCGACGAAACCTCATCGGCAACAAGTACCTGATCGCCTCGTCCTCTCATACCGAGGGTGAGAACACTCTCAAACGGCCTAGCCCGCTCGGCACCCTCCTGGAAGAACTTCGTGATCTCAGGCTTGCTCGCGTGCCAGGACCAGCTCCCTTCCGGCTGGTTGTACGGATCGCGGAACCATTCGTTGCTGGCTCGCTGCATGGGCTCATGGTGGGAGGTTGACATGACTATGCCGTAGGCGTCGGCTGTCTTCTGATTAAGAGGATCATCGACGAAGAAACTCTGACCCGGATGGTTCCACATCGCAGGCCACATGAAGTTTGCCTAGGGCCGAATGGTTAATTTTCATACTCCAAAGCGCGCGTCTCGTCTTCTGTATAAGTGTAAATCCTACCTTCAATCGCAGTAGAAGCTCGAAGACTTTTTTGTAAAATTCCGAGTTGTATTTGGGTCCAAAATTCTCCTCGACCCATCCGGTAAGACATGGCGACTCATCATTGATGAAGATTCCTCGGTACTTCACGGTAGGAGGACCATCGCGAGTTGCGACGTCTAACGCGTGGAGCTCGGTCGTGTAATCCACTGGCAAGTCAGACCAGAAATGGAATCTGGTGACAGGGAAATGTAAGCAAGCCTAACTAACCTACTCATTTGACGATTGGATGGGCCTACTTACGGAGAAACCCCAATCTGCTGAGAGAGGGTGTAAATCCCAAATATGGTGCCTCTCTTGTCGCTCCCGACGATAACAAGTGCTTTATCGCAACCTTTGTAGGGATGAGAAACCAGCTGAGTGGTGAAGCACTCCCATTTGTCCTGAATAGCAGACACGTCTAGTTTCTGCTGTTGGACGAGGGATTTGACAATGGATGACTTGGTTAGGCTGCCAATAATGATGGCATTCTTAGTGATTGACAGGGGCGACGTGCTGTGCACCAAGGGGTTAGGCTGGCCTCTGGTGACTCTGGCAAAGTCGTCTGACAGTGTCTTCGCAGCGATGTGAATTCCCTCGAAATCATCCCCATCGACGATGATTGGGCAACCAACCAGACGCAAGCTACCTGGCTGGGGCTCACGAACCACGAATTTCGTTTCAAACATAATTAGTCCAGGAAGACTTAGTTAGGTCTAAGCAATGGAATTCGGATAGTCGGGCTCTCGATTATTATTATTATTTCCCTAAGGCGCAAAGGAGTACAAATAAGCTAACGCTGGGTCTATACCCTTGAGGCCTAAATTAGGCATCGGAAAAGATGGCAATCAACATATGACCGCAGTCGCGATCGGGAAGCGGACTTGAAATACAGCGCAGTTTGCGGGTCAACGCCGTTCAACAAGACAACCATGGGTTGGTACCGGAGTTGCGGCGATCCATATTTCCGGTTGCAAACCCGACACTAAGATACTTTCCAAGACATGGTTAGTCACTGCCATTGGTGGACTGTGCCGGAGTTTTCGAGTCACTGAGACTGGTCCAGGCTTTCCTAGTTCGGGAATCGGAAAAGGTGTTGCACATCATTACACCGGATTCCTAGTCAGCCATTATACCAACCTGTGCCTGCTAGCGTTAGCTAACCCTGTCTTGTCGACACCCGACCCATTCCGTCTTCCCCAACAATACTCCGTGTTCCCCCACAATAGCTAGAGACCCCGCGTAACTACTTACGGAGTAAACAGAAGCTCCACACGAGATGGTCGGAAAATGTGTCTGTTAAGCAACTCTTGTCTGTCCCATTCCCCCGGGAATTTTTTCAAAACCGGGGAACCCTTGGCTCATATACCAGGAGAGGGAATAACCTGGTTTATTTAGTTGAGGGACCCCCAAGGGCCATCAAGCTTGTCCCCCAACTTGCCTTTTACAGAGATCTTCCACTCAGTTTCTATTTCTCAAAAGCTCCTACGACTCTGTTTACCCACCACAACAATGGTCTCAGCCGAGATAACTAACGAGGCCCCCAATTTCTCCAGCATCACCAAGGCTGGCGGTAACGATGGCGACATCTCACACCTTGAAGCTATCTTATCCGAAGAGGATACCAAGAAAAGGCCGGACCATGCCCTAGTCGACCCTGAAGTCGCGAAGTACGCTGCACAGCGGGCTGTTCACATAGACGAGGCGACCAATAAGCGCCTAAAACGCTTGATTGACAGGAGACTCCTCGCCGTTATGGTTGGCACGTACTTTTTGCAGGCTCTTGACAAGGGGACTATTTCCTTTGTTGCCATCATGGGCATCCGTGAAGATACCCATTTAGTTGGGCAACAGGCAAGTACACAGTGAGAGGATGAACTCATGCAACTGCTAACACGAAGGCGTTGAACCCAACAGTTTAGCTGGTTAACGACATGCATCTACATTGCGATCCTGATCGTTGAATATCCAACTAACTGGATAATACAAAGAGTTCCAATAGCGAAGTACCTCGCGGTAAATATCATACTATGGGGTGTCACGCTTGCGATGCATGCCGTGTGTCATGATTTCGCCGGCCTGCTCGTCGCTCGTACAGTTCTAGGAATCCTGGAGGCTGTCTGCCAACCGACATTCATTCTTCTTTCGGCGACTTGGTACACACGAGAGGAACAATCCGTCATCAGCATTACCTGGTTTCTCATGGCCGGCCTCCAGCAAATCATTGGTGGCCTTCTTGGATACGCTTTTTCCAATATTCCGACATGGTCACCTATCAAATCATGGCAAATTCTCTATGTGGCTTACGGTTCCTTGAGTGTTATCTGGGGCTTCTTTGTGCTCTTCTGGATGCCAGACTCTCTGACGAGGGCGAAATGCTTTACCGAAGAAGAAAAAGCGCTCATGATTGAGCGAGTACGAAAAAACCAGACAGGGATTCAAAATCGTGTCTTCAGAAAGGAACAAGTCTGGGAAGCCTTTAAGGACCCTCAAAGTAAGGTTTGTCCCCTTCTCTTGAGAGAGGAGCGAAAAGGAGGAGTCCGCACTAGCTAACCAGAACCCGAACAGCTTACGCTTTCTGTGTTATTCAAATTACCACTACGATCCCGTCTGGTGGCCTCAGTTCTTTCTCTGCGATTCTGATCCAGAGCTTCGGTTTCGGACTCCTTCAGACTCAACTCCTAGCGATGGTTCCAGGCGCTGTGCAGATTTTCGCGATGCTGATTGCTGTATACTTTGAGAGGAAGTACAAACAGACGGCGTTGACTATGCTGGCCGGAACCTTGGCTCCGATGGCGGCAACGGTTGTCTTTCTCGCCGTCCCGTGGTCTCTCGACACTCGCAATGGGTTGCTCGTTGCCTATTACTTGATCTGGTCTTTCTACGCGGCCGTCGGTCTCCTATTCCCCCTCATCTCGCGCAACGTCGCCGGCCAGACCAAGAAAGCGACCGTAATTGCCACAACATTCGTATTCTGGGCAGCGGGCAACGCGGCTGGGCCGCAAGCATTCCAGTCCAGAGAGGCTCCACGTTACTTTACAGCGTTTGCAGTACAGCTAACCTGCTGGGTTACTTTGGCCGTAACCCTTATCTTCTTGAGAGCTTACTACATAGTTCAAAATAAGAGAAGAGACAAGAAGGTTGCCGAAGGTACTGCTACAGCGGATGACGATTTAGTTCATGGCTTTGAAGATGTCACTGACATTGTAATTATGCTCATGCTCCGGTCCTCTGGCGAACTTCACTAGCTAACAAGTTAATCTAGGAAAACGTTAACTTCCGGTATATTTACTAAAGATAAAGGTTGGTGTTAATATGTTCAATCCAATCTAGCTAGTCAGTCAGATTGATCCAATCCATTAGGGTAGCCAACCCAGTCAGCTGCGACTGTAGTATGCGGGGCGCAAAATTAATTGGCTTTTCTGCATTGATTTGACCTTCAGCATGGTTGCACGGTTCATCAACCGTAGAACCGTGCTGGAAACTCCCGCTCATTTGGTCCCTTTGCTCCCCTGACTGGTTTACTTTTCTATTCTCATTCGTGTTCTTTGGTGAGAAGAAGGAATTTGGATATGAAGAAAGCGCTTACCACCATTATATACTCTGCGATTTCTAATGTGCCCGGAATCTTAAGCCCGAGTCCTACGCGTTCGAACGTCACACCCAAAGACCCCAGCACTCAAGTAAAGCTTTGTCAGACGCGACTCGTTCCTTGGACAGATTGTGCGCCTGCTCAGCAGGGAAATATATGGGCAATGAGCGGACATTTCAATTCATTCAGTGACCCAATAACAATGGCTATTTAACAAGAACTTGTGGGCTGGACCGTTGCGGATCTACAGAAGCCGAGACGAGCACCACACTGCGACTGCAAGTGAAAGGCCAGACGCGACCTCTTGATTATCTTCTCTTTGCAGGATTTTGCCGATTTTGCCAGCCGGATATCAGGAGCACTTCCGCGGACTTTGGCGATCAGTCGATACCGTGGTGGTGTCCGGACGGTAATATCAGCGGTATGGATACACTGCCGCGCTAGGTCCGAACCGCCAGGCTTAAAAACAATCGATAGAACGGTAAAGCCCGTTGGACAAAGGTTCATGGCAATATGTCAAGGCGCAAGCAAACGTCCATGGTGCCAGGCTACGCAAAAAACGACGATTGGAGCTTCATGCTTAAACGACGATCATTCCATTTTCGGTTAACTCAACTTGCTCACATTACAACCTCCTTTACCGGTCTTGGAAGGGTTTACTTGTCTGTCTCTTAGAGAAAAGTCAGAATTGGGGAACGGTAGCTAACCCATTTAATCTAGGATAAATTCCCTCAGCCCATTCGACCCAGTTTCGCACACTTCGCCTTGGTTTACCTGAATCAGAATGGCAATATATGCTACGAATCGTCGCCCTCTCTCGCAAATAGCCATGGAAAACATTTTGGCTTTCAAATAAAGGAAATCTTTAAGAATGCTGTCGATATGTCAATCAATGTTAGGTTGAAACGACTGAACGGTAATTATATAGCAAAGAAATACCCGATTGCCACTGTCTCACATTAGTCCATGAGCTTCCACCTGGTACTGCATACTTCACCCCGCTGCAAAAGGTGGCCTTTTGGTTCCAAAGGGACCTCTCCACTGGCACTATGGTGGCAGTGGGCACTAGCTCAATCTTTGAGGTCGACCTTAGGGTAACACGAGCGCTACCATTACTTACAACCAAGACGGCCTGTGGACGAACAATACCCAGAGCGGCTCAGGCATGGCCAAAAAGGCCATCCTGTATAAAGGAAAGAAGGCTGTCAAGCCAGCAAAGGTTTAGTTTGTTCGGTGATCGAGGCGAAGTTCAGATTCGCGCGTTTAAGAGAGTAAATTCTTTCTTATTACAATATACTCTTCTACGAATAGTTTGAGGAGTTAGGGAGTGGGATTAGGCTCCTCTTTAGAGAAGTTTGCATCTTTAGCTTCGTTCTAGGTAAGTCTCTATCTACTAAATGTTAGAATCCATTTAGCCGCTATAGACTAAAAACTTATAGAGCCTAGTTCAAAGCTACCTAGTCATATCTTTTAAGCGTCGTAGGTACGAGTTCCTTATAGTAGATAGTATTGTCTTCTTATTCCTACTAATCCTAGTACTCTCACGTGAATCCATGTGACGCAGCACGTGCAATACGCTCTTTAAGAGCTTTTTAGATTTTTAATTTAGTGGACATCGTGCTTGCGGGATTAGTAAAATAATACTAAAGAGGATAAAAGGCCCTAGGTCCTGAATTTATCCTTTTCACAATAGCCCAGGGAGGGGGCGGATTAGCCCTTCTCACCTATCGGGGTGATGAGTCTCACCCCGTTCTCACCTCTATCACCCTAGTCTCTAAATTTCTCACCCATATCACCCACACCCACACCCACCCCAAGGTACTTTCTATCGCCCTTTTAAAATGGTAGGGGTGCTAAGGGCACGTTAAGAATTAGCCTTGCACAATATGTGGCTTAAGTACTGCTGAGCGGGCGGGAAGTCCTGTTCTCCACACTCTATGTTCGCATGTATCAGTTTTGGAGTTAATTATGATCATACGCTAACTACAGAGCCACCCGACCTCCCGTAGGAGTAGAGACCATTCCGTAGACGCGGAGCAAGGAAAGGAGCAAGAGCAAGTCAGAGCGGGACGGACGCAGACCCCATAGACTCAGACGGCGGGACGAATAAGGAGCAAGGACAGCGCTGCGAGGACATCTATATTTGACTAGATACTTCCTGATTTTGTTATATGCTTTAGTTGACAGAGAGTAATGAAAATTCATCTAGTTTAGGTATATAGGAAAGAAAGTAACTGACTTTAATTGGAGAATCCAAGCCAAAAAAAAAAAAAAAAAAAAAAGAAAAGAAAAGTATACATGCAACAGTCAGGATTCGCTGGTGGTCACCCACCCAACTACTAACTGACCGGCGTGTGGCTTAAGTACGGCTGAGCGGACGGGAAGCCCTGTTCTCCACACCCTGTGGTCGCATGTATCAGTTTTGGCGTTAATTATGATCATACGCTAACCATAGACCCAGACCCACTTCACGTAGGAGCAGAGACCATTCCGTGGACGCGGATCAAGGAAAGGAGAGAAGAGCAAACCAGAGCGGACGGACGCAGACCCCACAGACTCAGACGGCAGGGACGAATAAGGAGCACGGACAGCGCTGCAGGGACGTCTATATATTTGATATGTATACAGACTGGCTCATTTTGGAAGAGATATATATTTCGCAATCATCAACCTCATCACTCTCACTATATATCTCCACCCCCATCAACCCTCATAAAAACTGCTAACAGGCCACCCATTAAAAACACTATAATCCGCCAGCGGCGATGACCCATAAAGCTTCTGATAGTGCACACGATCCCCACAATCCACAGCCGTGCTACTAACATTGCTGCATTCCCTCCGCAGCAAATGCGCAATCTGCTCTCCGGCGTCAAGCCCCTCAAAGTACGCACCATGCAAGAAACCAAAATACGGCGCGGAAGTAGCCTCGCCAGCGAACCAGAGTCTACCCACGTTTGCGCGCAGGTTCTCGTGCATTTCCAGCGTTGTCGCCGCCGGCCAGTTCGAGTACGAGCCGTGTGCCCAGGGCGTTGTTGTCCAGCGCGGGTACATGAAGTCTGTTGGTTCGGGGATGTTTTTGTGAGGATACATCTTGCGCAACACGTCCATTACCTGGTTCTTGGTTTGTTCGTCGGTTTGGCGCTCCGCTTTCCAGGCTTGGTCGGCAACGACGGTTACGAAGATGATGTTGCTTCCCTCTAGGAAGCCTGGTGCGGAGAGGGACTGCCACACTGGGTAGTAGCCGCGCTCCAGCGGGTCGGCGTATAGGAAGTACTGCGTGTCCTCGGGCCAGAAGGTCTCGTTGAATTGCAGGAAGATCTTGGTGTAGGTGCCCATAGTGAATTTCTCGATGGCGGTGCGTTTCCAGAAGGGGAGGGAGGGAGTGAATTCCACGACGTCGTTTTGGAGGACGCCCAGGGAAAAAGTGCAAACTGCATAGTCGGCGGAAATGCAGCTGCCGTCTTCTTTGGTGATGATTACCCCGGAGTGGGAGTAGCTTATCTTCGCGATGGGAGAATTCAGGTGTAGACGCGGGTCGTTCTTCTTGAGGAAGGTCGCTGCTTCGTCTTTGATGATCTTGTTGTATCCCCGCTGGTCCCAGACGTAGTTGTTTGCGTCGCTGAATTGGTTGAAGGTGAGATTTTCGCCAGCAACGCCGAAGACGAAGGAGCTTTCGTCTGGTGAGAAGGCATCCTCCCAGTCTGCTTCATGTTAGTATAGAGACTAGACAAAGTGACCAGAGGAATACATACCCCAGTTCCACCACTCAACCGCCTGCTCCTTCATAGCATCGACCTTAGGCTTCCATCCCGCCAGCGCGAGACCACTGCGCCCTGTTTGATCCTGCAGGTTCTGCTTGAGGATGACGCCGGCATTTTCGGAGGCGACGCTGTACGCATTGTCGAACGTGTCCAGCAGAGCGCTGTAGTCATTGGCTCCATTCTCGTCATAGGTGATGATCGAGCTATAGTTGGAGTAGGTGTTGTTCAGCCCGTACTCCTGCGCGAAAGTCCAGACGGGGTTTTCTGCACTCGCGTCAGTGTTGCGTTGGACGTAGATCTAGATGGCCAAAAAACATACGAGGTCCGCCTGGTTGACCCAATCCTTGAACCTATTTTCGATCAGAAATTTTGTCTGGGGGATATTTTCTGATCTAAACTGTTTGTGGCTCGCACATACCCAATTAGCACCCAGTTCCACCGTGTAGGGTTCCCCATTGGCATCCTGGCCAAAAGTGGTGTGGGCCACCCGTCCGCCGAGGGTATCGCGATACTCCACAATAACGAAGTCGTGAATGGAGTTGTTGGACAGCGCTTTCTAGTGAGCGTGCGGGTGAGCCGGCTGTGTTGTGTTTCTGCTAGTATCCAGAAAAACTTACTGCCGCCGCAACGCCAGCCATTCCACCTCCCCTGCCGAGGTCTTAGTTCGTGTTCAACATTTCTAACGATCTTGGCAGCACGCTTACAGGATCGCGACTGTCGTCTTGGTGCAGGTCGCAGTGTCACCGCGCGGTTTTGGTATGGAGGCCGACACGCATGGGAGAGCCAGCGCAGCCGCCCACAGCCATGTCTTAGACGAAGAAATCATGATGATAGGAATGACCAAGTTGGACAGTCCACGCGACGGGCTTTTTCCCCTTCTCTTCCCTCCTCTTATAGCCCCCGTCACACTATCGTCCACTGCCAAGTTCGCGGAGCTTATCATCAGGTCCACAACATCAATCAAACAATTAGAGAGCAGAGCACATCAACACCAATGCACTTCTTACGCAATGCGGCAGGTACATGCGTCCCCTGACGAAACGGGGAAGCCAAGCCGAGATGATGCCAGGCACGGGGCGATCGATTAAGCTTGCGGGGGAGATAACAGCTGTTCCAGCATCATTATTGGGTGACAGGATCGGAGCTTCGGGGGCAAAAACCAACCCTTGTTGTGTGTCATGGATTTCTTCCCCGCATCATCGCCAATCCGGATCTCCCGACAGGGGTCGGTTGTATTGTTATTAGAGACGGTGTTTCATTTTTTTTTTGCTGTGTTTTTGTTTTCAATTCCGATCGTTCCATCGTTAGGGAATCACATCATGAAGGACATCATTCAAGATGACGACGCCCAACTGGCCGCCATGGGCCATCGCCCAGAGCTAAAGCGGCGTTTTTCGACTTGGTACGATCGGGCCCGCTTATCAATTATGCATGCCTTTAGACTTACCCGGGGCGCAGGTCGATGCTGGGATTGGCGTTTGCCGTGCTGAATGTCTGTCCCAAATCCTTATTCTTACCATCCACAACGCTGATAATGGATTTAGTCGTGGACGGCGCTGTCGGCAAGTTTGTCTATCAGTTTGGACTCCGGGGGGAGTACCAGTGTGGTGTGGGGTGAGTGGATAGACATGGGGTGAAATTATGGATGCATAATCAATTAACCCCTGGGCCAGGTCTGGTCACGGCGGGATTCTGTAATCTCTGCATTGCGGCTTCGTTGGCTGAGTTTCTTTCTGCGTATCCGACGTGGGTATTCTCCTGTCTTGTTCTGTGAGAATGATGGACTTGGACTAAATGGCAGAATGCAGTGCGGGTGGACAGTATCACTGGGTTGCAGGCGAGTACTTCTACACTGGTCTGCCATGCTCTCGCTAACCAAATCCTATAGTCAGTATGTTCATCCTCTCAACTCGGAGTACACGGATCCTAACGGAACAGTCTCGTGGCCGAAATGGGTGCCCATCCTCTCATGGATCACGGGCTGGATCAATGTGGCGGGCTGGGTAGATATACCACGGTTCTTCCGTTGGCCAAAACAAAATTGACTGGTTGGCAGGTTGCGCTCGTGGCTACCAACTCGCTGCTTTCAAGTCAGCTCATCGTGGGATGTATTTCCTTGATGCACCAGGTAAACACAGCCACCTCCCTTTGTTGGTCTCAATACTAACCAACCAACAGGACTATGTAGCAAAGCGATGGCACCAGTTCCTTATTTATATCGGATTAACGGTAGGCGCTTTTGTCATCAACGCCTTCGGAAACGCGATCCTGCCACTCTTGTATCGTGGTGCTTGTATGTTGATGCCCTTGGTGTTTGACACCCTTACTGATTCTTTCAGTTACATGGTCAATTGGCGGGTTTGCGATTGTCTCTATCACGGTTCTTGCTTGTGCCTCCCCTGACTTCAATTCGGCATAGTAAGTCTTGATTTCCGGAATGCTATATGCAGATAACCAATCTCTTGCCAGTTTTGTGTTCTGCGACTTTGTCAATAAAACTGGCTGTATGCCCATTTCCCATTCTTCCTCACTGAAAATACATTTTTAACCGAAATTAGGGCCGGATGGCGTTGCATGGCTACTCGGAGTATGTCACCTTGATACCTCAACAACTCAAACAACTAACATCAGGACCAGCTGCTCCAAGGAGGTCTCGGCGTGACTGCATTCGTGAGTACTCATCCATCCCATCGATCATGCAGAACTAATCCTCCCAGGATGCCGTCGCACACATGATCGAAGAAGTCCCAGGAGCCGCGACCGAAGGACCCAAGATTATGGTCGCCTGTGTGGCTATCGGTACTTTCACCGGCTCAATCTTTTTGATCTGCCTGCTGTTCGTAGCGGGACCCATGAATCAAGTCACGACTGCAGCAGCAGGGCCGCTTTTGCAGATTCTCTACGATGCAACCCAAAATCGCGCGGGTGCGATCTGTCTCTTGATGTAAGTCGCTGCAACCTTAGGGCTGGAGAGTAGTTGACTAAACACTGTCTGAATAGGCTTCCTCTCGTCTGCATGATCTATGCTATTCTCAGCGTCATGACTACTAGCAGTCGAATGATATTTGCATTTGCACGGTGAGTTTCGTCTGCCATTAAACGACCAACTGTTCCACTAACAAATACAGTGACGGCGGTCTTCCCGCATCCCGGTTCTTTGCCACTGTCCACCCAACACTTAAGCTGCCGCTGAATGCACTAATGCTGAGCGTCGTTGTGGTCATCTGCTTCGGCTGCATCTTCATGGGTTCCTCAAGGTAGCTTACTGCAATTCAAAACATGCATGCATACAAGCTGACCAGACAGTGCCTTCAATGCTATCATCTCCGCATCCGTCGTTGCGCTCGACCTCTCCTACGGAATCCCTATCGCAATTAACTGTCTGCAGGGCCGTAAAGCCCTTCCGCCGGGGAAGTGGAAGCTTCCCAATGCAGTTGGTTGGGTGGTTGACATTGTAAGCTTCACACATTAAAGATATTCAAATTAGCTGTGTTGGCTGGGCGCCTTACTGATGACTGAACTGGCGAGCAGGTTGCCTTGTCGTATATCTCCCTGACGACTGTGTTGTTTGTCTTCCCTCCTGATCGTAAACTTACGGGGAGTAATATGAGTACGAGTTACCCATCTAGCCGTACTAATGATCATGCTGACGTCCGTTGCAGATTACTGTATTGCTGCCTTCGCTGTCATCATTATGATCTCGGTGTTCCAGTGGGTTGTGGACGGACGGAAGAATTTCACGGGACCTCGTGTTGATTTGGCTATTGAGGCACTGGATACCCTGCCCGCTGAGTCGAAGGTTGAACCTACGACTGAGACCGAAACGGATGAGAAGAAGTAAAAGAAGGGAGCTGGTTATGACCTGCATGAGCAGGGAATGGTGGCGCCAACGCTTGATCCAAGTGCGGATTACTTGTGTACACCAAATTAGTATATTATCTTTTAGAGATAGAGTGAGTCCTAATAATCAGGAACCCTCTTAAATCAGAAAATTCCCGGAATGAATCTCTTCGTCTCTCGATGCCACGCCTCCCATTCCTTCCCAAACTGCCCTCTCAGCATATCCTCCTCATCTTTCACCCTCGCAGCACAAATCGCAATACTCAACGCCAACGCTCCCACATCAACAGAAACACCCCACCCATCCAACCTCGCCAGAACATCCTCACCCAACCAACAAGCCGGTGTCGCGTCCCATCTCAGAAACAGCCCCTCGCAACCAGCAACAATTAACCCCAGCCCCACGTAGCTGGGATGCTGAATCCAGCGATAAATCCCGTCCGTAATGAGATGATCCGGCGCAGCGAGGTGGAAGGTAAATGAGCGTCCTAGACCACTGTACGCCCCGAGACGTATGTATCCGCCGACGAAGATGGCGGCCAGCGAGGACGCGGTCGTCGCGTTCCAGGTGAAGAGAGCGGTGTTGGTGGTTTGGTATCCTGGGCAGAGCTGGGGGATGTGTGTTGGCGCGTATGAGGGAAGGATAGTTAGGAGCGCGTGGTATATGAATCCCACGCTCACGAGGGGCAGTAATGATGGCAAGAGCGTTACTATTAGGCTGACTCGGTCGGTGTTGTGGCGGTTCTGGGATGTGTTTGGGGGCGTTGCGCACTTGATGGTTATGTAACCTGCTGCAATCATTGCTGCAGCAAGAATTGCTGATACTGGCTCTGTCATGATGATTTCTGCGTTTGGGATGACGTTGAGGTTGCGAGTTAGAGAAAGGATGAAGTTGACATGTTGTCCAGCCCGCATTATAAGTGGGGACCGCGCGGAATGCCGAGGTAGAGATCCATATCACTAATTGGCCGAAATGGAACTATTTACTTGTCCAAATTTGTAGCCTGGCACATGTTGCTTCTATCGGCCTGTAAGAGTGAGCTGGGAGGTGGTAGAAAATGCATATGAAAATAAAAAAATATACCCTTCCCTCATTATTGAGCGGGTAAGTAATCTGGTCATATAGTATCGATATTACTATGATTATGGAGAGAGACCCGCGCAGAAATCTTCAATTTGTCTCATTTCATCCTGGCTTATAGTTAATCTTTTGCTTTTGAGCTCTAAAAATGCATTATCACGTGCTGGGCTGCGAGCCATTGCAGCGCATTTTCTCCCCGCTTCCACTTGATTTCCACATATCGATCTGTGGCAACAATGGAGTACGGAAAACACTTTATTCCTCTGGAATCCGATCCGCAAATCTTCACGAGATTGATGCACAGCCTGGGCGTAACTAATTAGCTCAGATTTATTGATATTTGGTCCCTCGAAGCAGAACAGTTGAACAACATTCGTTTGGAAACCCAAAGTCCCATCGAAGCCTTGATCCTCATTTTGCCTGAGTGTCCTGCGTACGCAGAGCAGACTATTGAAAACAGCGTTTGCAAGGGAGATATTCTCTGGCTGAAACAAACCATCCACAATGCTTGCGGTCTTTATGCCATATTACATTGCGTTTGCAACATTCTAGGCACTAAGGAAATTGGTAGGATATTCTACCTCGGTTCTATATAATACCAACTGAAAGGAGTAGATCCAGGCTCATTTATTCACGGTTTTATGAAGGAAAGACCCGCCGACCGTGCCCAGTACCTGCATAATTCATCAGAACTGGATACAGTCTATCGCAAAGCTGCATTGCGTGGCGCTTCAGAGCCTCCGGCTGCCGAGAGTGATATTGACCATCACTATATATGCCTGGTGCGGCGTTCAGGTTGTCTCTACCAGTTGGACGGGGACAGAACGGGGCCTATATACAGATGTAATCTGGAAGATGACGAAGATACTTTGTCAGAAAAGGGCTGCGATATCCTTAAGATGTATATGAACAGCTGTCCAGAAGGAAGCTCCAGTCTACTTGCTCTGATAAATCCTTCCTAGCGCAAGAGTGGAAAACGAATGACTTTTCGGCAATGATGCCACTGGCTAACTATATTTTGGATATTTACAGCCACTAAAAAAAGAAACAAACTCACACACCTATAATAAGTCGTTGTTTTTCAATTGTTTAGTGAAGAACGGGTAGCGGCAAAGGCACTTCCGGAATCCACCCCTTAGCGCATCCGATGCTCAAATCAATTACCGAGTTGAGAGAGACTAAGGATCGTCACCGGATGCTACAACTTCCGCGCATCGTTCGTTTGTTTGGTTGGGAGTTGGGGATGCCCGCCCGATTCTTCGTCAATCTGCCGGAGAATTCCTTTAGGAAAAGGGTAGATATGAAAGGGAAACAATTGCTCTCCCAAAAATAATTTACTTCTCCAAACTCACCAACAGCCACCTACGTTGCAATGGTCTCCGCTTCCCTGCCACCCGCAGCCAAGCCAAATGGCACCATCGCCAGTCTGGACACGCTCGACCATGACATTCTGATCGCGGCTCAACAGAAATACCAGTTTGAGCGGGAGAAGCGCCATCGCCCTGAAGGTGCCGCACAGTATATCGATCTGAGCAGCATTGCAGGAGGACCGGCCCGTCATGCCGAGCAGTCAAATGTTCCCCACAATCCCCTTCTGCATCAGGAACACCATCGGGTCCTCATTGTCGGCGCTGGCTTTGGAGGCCTGTTGTATGCAGTGCGCCTTCTCCAGACTGGCTTCTGCTCTGCGAATGAAATCACCATGATCGACCAGGCTGGTGGTTTCGGGGGCACTTGGTATTGGAACCAGTACCCGGGATTGCATTGCGATACCGAAAGCTACATCTACATGCCGCTCCTGGAAGAAACGGGACACATGCCGACGAAGAAGTATGTGCCCGGGTCGGAACTGAGGGCCCATGCAGAGCGCATTGCTAGCCAATGGGGGCTGACTTCTCGGGCTATCTTCCACACCACAGTTAATGAGATGAGCTGGGATGATGGAAATAAGCATTGGATGGTCTCAGCTGCTCTCATCGCAGAAGGTCAGAAACCAGTCACCTTGCGCTCAGATTTCGTGATCCATGCCATGGGCATTTTCAACGTTCCTAAGATACCCAAGCTGCCGGGAATTGAGAGCTATGGCGGTCACATGTTCCACACCTCTCGCTGGGACTATGAGTACACTGGCGGGACTCAGGAGAATCCCACAATGGACCGATTGCACAACAAGCGAGTTGGGCTCGTCGGAACGGGTGCAACTGCAATCCAGGCTATCCCGCATGTTGCCCAATGGGCAAAAGAACTGTTCGTCTTCCAGCGCACACCGTCATCAGTGGATCGTCGCGACAATAAACCGACAGATCCAACTTGGTGGGCCGAAAATACCCAGACGTATGGTCCAGGATGGCAAAAGAAACGCATGGAGAACTTCAACGCATTCGTGAGCAACGCATCTCCCCTCCCGGAAACAAACCTGGTGAACGACGAATGGACATCCTTCCCGTCGTTCAGCGTCTTGGTCGGCGGCCCCTCCGGCGTCCAACCAGACTACCTGGAACAAATGAAGCGCGTGGACTTCGCCCGCCAGGAATACATTCGCAAGCGCGTCGACGACACAGTCACCGACAAAGCTGCAGCAGACCTTCTGAAGCCATGGTACGCGGGTTGGTGCAAGCGACCCTGCTTCAGTGAGAACTTCCTTGAGACTTTCAATCGACCCAACGTCACACTGGTCGACACCCTGGGCCGTGGAGTCGAGGGTATGACACCCGAGGGAGTCCTTGTCGGTGGGAAAGAAATCAAACTCGACGCCATGATCTTCAGCACGGGCTATACCCTCGGAGACAGCGCGGAGAAAGGTATCATGAAGGTCACCGGCCGGGGCGGCAAGACCATGCAGCAGAAATGGGCATCTGGACCTGCTACCCTGCACGGAGTGATCACACACGACTTCCCCAATTTGTTTCTCTCAGGTCCCTGCCAGGTTGGCGCTTCCCCGAATCATATGTATGTCCTTGATCAACTGGCGAGCCATGTTGCCTACATCATATCGCAGTCAGCGGCCAGATTGAAAGCCCGTGATGCCAAGTTCACGGTCGAACCGAGCTCGGAAACCGAGGAGGGTTGGTCCATGCAGATTCTCATCAACGCGCGCGCCCTCGCCGGCGTTGCGGACTGTACACCCAGTTACTATAACCGGGAGGGACACAAGCTGAAGGACCATGAGAAGATGGTGGCCGCGAAATTCGCTATCTGGGGAGAAGGCGTTGGGAGTTATGCGAAGAGGATTGAAGACTGGCGCAGCACTGGGAAGCTTGAGGGGTTGGTGTTTAATGGTGAGGAGAGTGTGTGAGGATAGCTCATCGTTGGATTGAGCGCTGGTATTCTCTTTTGGTTCTATCCCCGCAATTGTTAGATTTTGGACGATTGGCAGAGAAATTGTCTCGATATTGGAATAGATGAATTTGAACGTGCTACGGATCCACTGCGGTTTGATCTTTTCTTTTCATATTTTTATCTCTAGAATTACACATCGGAAGAAGGTTGCTAGCCATGACTATTGAGTTTACGCTTAAACGATACTCCGGAAAGCATCCCGTTGCATTTCCACGTGGTCTTCCATTTCTAGAACCTGCGCCGTGATAGAAAAAAATTCGACCAAACTCAAACCGGTCTACTCTCAAACCTTGCGACCGGTTTTGGCCACTGGTAAACGAGGGCCCACCTGCCAACTAACTAACAGGGCTCGACAGAGACTTCCGGGCAATCTTAGGAACAGTTTTTCATCCAGAAAAATCTAGACACTTCCTGGTTGTGCTATTATTTCCTTCACCATGCGCACAGAAAAATAATTTGCTCGAGTTAAGGTTTAGTAAGGACTGCACTAGAGGATTTTCTTTCGAGGTGAAACAACGTTGCTAATCTAGCACCGACAATTCCCCGCCGTCGGCTGAAAAGTCCCTTTTGCTCCAAGCCTCCCGGAAATGAGATGGCTGCCACAAGCCACGGAGAATAGACCAGTCCCCAGAAAGTGGATGTGCCCGGGGGAAATTGTACGGTTCCATTCCACGGCATACCGTAACCCCGGTCTGAATACACGGCTTGCCCGGTCTGTTCGCTGTCCGGCAAAGGCCGAAGATGTACACTGGCACCGCAACAGTCAAGAGGCCACCCTCCCTGACCGCCTACTTTCTGCCACATACATATATTCTGCCGTTCTAAAAGCTCCAAAATCATCTAATACTTAGAATACCGCCCGTTAGAATCCATAATTGCCCATACACGACGCGGCATACTCGCCGAGAGATTATCTTCGACATGCTGCGCTTCGCGACGCGTTCTACTAGTCTGATTTGGGAAAGTGGTATAGGCGGTGAAGTCGGGCGGTCAGGGAAGGGGGTCTCAGACTTTCCTGGTGTCACTGTAGGACTAGATATTCCCCGGGGGGGAAATATCCCCGGCCGCCCAGCAATAGAGTTCGAATCTTCCCCCAAAGGTCAGCGCATCCGTGGTCTTGTGGCGCGTTGGATATTACTCTGTGGGACCCCACAACAACGTGAAAATATGGGTTGAAGGCCCGGGGCAGCCGAGAAATTTCGCGGGCCGATTGATTGGACGGTATGGAAGCATCCCCCAGAAAGTGGTAGAGTAATCCTGGTCAGGTTACACTGATCGTGCGTCTAAATGTCTTGGACAGGTCCGACCGCATGTCAAGTCAAGCCGAGCGTAGCGACGTTCTTCCTATAGTTCGTCTAAATCTGCTTGTCAGGTCCGACCGCACGTCAAGTCAGGCCGAGCGTGACGATGGAAGTTTTCCATGACACATTATTCCAGGCGGGCGGCAAGTGTCTCGGGCACCCCGGCATCTTTTCTTTCGGTCAGCCGAGCACTTCACGCGAGGAGGCTGAGCCGTAGGAATAGCCCGGATTTTGTCTAGCTTTCTTCGCTTGTGTATTCCAGGGGCTTGGGGGAAGGAAAAAAAACTCAAACCCACGGAAAGTCCTCGGGGTGGTGGCCAATCACGAGGTTGCCCGAATCCGGAGCCGAGCTTGGTGGAGGTCAACCCGAGCATTTGTTTGGCTGGCAAGTCTAGACCCTTTTTCGGCGGTTAGGCGTGGCTTTTCCCCAGACAGTCTACTTCGTGCAGAAGGTTTTTCGCTCCTAGGTGCGCATCGAGAAGGGAACTGGAGATGGGTAAGGATACATGTATTTGCTATGTGAAGTTGAATGGCAGGGGGTTTCAAATGATTTACTTCCAGAGACCTCGGTAGCAAACTATGTATAGATGGACAATCCCGCGGCAGTTCATGCTTGGGTTTTGCCATCGGTTCCTGTTGGGGGCGTGACCCCAGGCTAGTCGTACCTGCCCAAGTTGGCCGAGAGCCCACCTGCTGGACTATATAAGCGTGCGCCTGCTCTCCTGGTCTTGCTTGTTCTTTCCTCTCTCCCTCTTCACTCCATCCTTCACTTTCTCACTTCTCTTCACAAGCCCACTCCCGGCTTTCCATCTTTGCTCCTTCTTTCCCATCTACCTGATACCCTTCTCTGTTCGCCTAACATGGCCGGTGGTGCTGTCGCCATGGTCAACAACGGCGGTCCTCGCGTGGAGGCGCCTGTTACCTTCAAGGCATACCTCATGTGTGCCTTTGCGGCCTTTGGTGGTATCTTCTTCGGATACGACTCTGGCTACATCAACGGCGTCACGTCGATGAAGTACTTCATTGAAACCTTCCAGCACCTGGTAGGCACAGCCCTTCCCTCTATCACCTTTGCCGACTGATCTGACCCTGATATGTAGAATCCCGACGACGCCAACTTTGCTATCCCCGCGTCGCGCAAGTCCCTGATCGTCTCCATCCTGTCTGCGGGAACTTTCTTCGGTGCTCTGATCGCTGGTGACCTGGCTGACTGGTTCGGTCGCCGCACCACTATCATCGCTGGCTGCGTTGTTTTCATCATCGGTGTTATCCTTCAGACTGCCTCCTCCAGCGTGGGTCTTCTTGTTCCTGGTCGTCTGATCGCTGGTTTCGGTATGGGTTTTGTCTCTGCCATCATCATCCTGTACATGTCGGAGATTGCCCCCCGCAAGATTCGTGGTGCCCTCGTGTCTGGCTACCAGTTTTGTGTCACCATCGGTCTGATGCTGGCGTCCTGCGTCGACTATGGCACTCAGAACTACAACACCTCGGCCTCGTACCGTATCCCGATTGCCCTGCAGATGCTCTGGGCCCTGATCCTGGGCGTTGGTCTGCTCTTCCTCCCCGAGTCTCCTCGTTACTTCATCCGCAAGGGTCGCAAGGAGCAGGCTCGTGCCGTCCTCGCCCGTGTCCGTGGGCAGCCTGAGGACTCGCACTTTGTCGAGGAGGAGCTCACCGAGATTGAAGCCAACCACCTGTATGAGCTTCAGTCAATCCCCGATGGTGGTTACTTCACTAGCTGGATGAACTGCTTCCGTGGCAATATCTTCCACCCCAACAGCAACGTTCGTCGCACCGTGCTGGGTACCTCGCTCCAGATGATGCAGCAGTAAGTCCTTTTGCCTCTTCCCACCCTTCCCAACTTCCTTACTGACCAATAAACAGGTGGACTGGTGTCAACTTCATCTTCTATTTCGGAACTGGCTTCTTCACCACGCTTTTCGAGAAGGAACACGGTGCCGTCACGAACCCGTTCCTGCTGAGCATGATCACCACCATCGTCAATGTCCTTTCCACTCCCTTGTCCTTCTATGCAATGGAGAGGGTTGGTCGTCGTCCTCTGCTGCTGTGGGGTGCTCTGGGCATGGTCATCTGCCAGTTCATCGTCGCCATCCTTGGTGTTACTGATGGTAACAACCCCCAGGCTCTTTCGGCCATGGTTGCATTCATCTGCATCTACATCTTCTTCTTTGCCACCACTTGGGGCCCCGGTGCCTGGGTCGTCATCGGCGAGATCTACCCTCTGCCCATTCGCTCCCGTGGTGTTGCCCTGTCCACCGCCTCCAACTGGCTCTGGAACTGCGTAAGTACAATCTGACGTGCCGTAAAGCCCCAACCGCTAACAACGACAATAGATCATCGCTGTCATCACCCCATACATGGTCGATTCCGACAAGGGCAACCTCGGTTCCAAGGTCTTCTTCATCTGGGGTTCGCTTTGCGCCTGCTGCTTCGTCTACGCCTACTTCCTCATTCCCGAGACCAAGGGCCTGACCCTCGAGCAAGTTGACAAGATGATGGAAGAGACGACTCCGCGCACCTCCGCCAAGTGGACTCCCCACTCCACCTTCGCCGCTGAGATGGGTCTGGATGAGGACAAGCGTGCCATGGCTCCTCAGATCTCTGAGCAGGAGGTTTAGCCGTGTGCTGGACTCCTTGATCCGTCAGCTTTGTGCTTGACCTTAATACCCGGGTTATTTCCTTTTATGCGCCATGATGTATGCCCGTTACGCTGTTTAACAGTCATACCACTCGTGTGTTGCCATGTTTTAATGTGGTTTCATTTTGCCATCACGACTGATGAGGCTTTTTGTGTATCCTAGTCTATTAAATGACAGGGGTTATCTACACTCCTTGTTTGTGTAGATCATGTAACCACTGTAACTCGCCCGCCAACACATACCCGGGATCCAGCAGTATCGAAGCCACGCAGCAGATACGATTCCTGGAGCAACAGAACAAATGTCAAAAAAGCTTCATATTCGGCATGACTGGCCAAGATAGTCTAGCGGATAGAACGGCTGCTGAGGGGGCTGGTGTCGATGAGTACTTTGCGACGCCTGTTGTACTCACGCAACTGGATCGCATCGTGAAACGATATTTCCCAGCGTTTGAGGTTAACTAGTGATCACTCATCATCGTACAGAAGACGATAATATACATGTTCTTGTCAAATTCTGTGTTGTATTTCTAGTAGCTGAAGTTATGTTTCATGTGCGACCGATATTATGTAGGGCGCCATGAACGCTTCCGAAGTTTCACAAGCCCCACGGATATTTTTGACTGTGGACTCGCTGCGTTCAGCTGCTTTTAGCCATTTGAGATGTTAGTGAGAGGCCCCGTATCACATCATAGATAAAGTGTAGCTTTGTGGGGGATACGCTCGGTGCTATGTTGTGCACGAGTTCCTGGTGCTACTTTCTGATGAATACTAGGGTATTGGAATCCAACAAGCATGGAGGGGATCTGATGTACGAGTGTATCAGAGTGACTGATGCGGTTTTGTTTTGGTTCTGTTTCACAGCCATGAAATGAAATAGAAGTCAGGTCAGGTCAGGCCTTGACACATAACCCAACCATCTTTAGCAAGTCCATCGATTTGAGCCCTACTTGTGGATACAAAATGTATCGGAAAACTAAGGTTCAATAGAGCCAGTTTTTACCTAGCACACTGAGATAACATGTAATGAAGATCGTTGAGAAAGAGACAAGCATTAGTATTAAATATTAGGCAGGCATGAGACTCCAAGACCAATAATATCTTGGAAATAAACAAAATATTCAGCCCTTTTTACAGCAAGATTAATATATAACAAATAGAAACTTTCAATGGAGGAAGAGAAGGAAGAAGGTAAAACCGAAGACCCAGATGCTGGAAGAGATGGTTCTCGACCCATCATTGGAAGTGATAATGCCAGTTCCAGACGCAGTGGCTGCGGCCGTGGTTTGGGTACTTGTGCAAGTCATTGAGGTGGTCATCGAAGGAGTCTTGGTGGTCCTGCGGTGCGTAGTTGAAGTCGTGCAGTCAGTACTGGTCGTCGAGGAAGTTTCGACAGACGTAGTTGAAGTCGTGCAGTCAGTGCTAGTCGAGGAAGTTTCGACAGGCGCAGTTGAAGTCGTGCAGTCTTCACTAGTCGTCGTGGGAGTTTCGACAGGCGTAGTTGGCGTCGTGCAGTCTTCGCTAGTCGTCGTGGGAGTTTCGACAGGCGTAGTTGAAGTCGTGCAGTCTTCACTAGTCGTCGTGGGAGTTTCGACAGGCGTAGTTGGCGTCGTGCAGTCTTCACTAGTCGTCGTGGGAGTTCCGACAGGCGTAGTTGGCGTCGTGCAGTCTTCGCTAGTCGTCGTGGGAGTTTCGACAGGCGTAGTTGGCGTCGTGCAGTCTTCGCTAGTCGTCGTGGGGGTTTCGACAGGCGTAGTGGGTGTCAGGCAGTCTTCGCTAGTCGTTGTGGGAGTTTCTATAGGCGTAGTTGGTGTCATGCAGTCTTCGCTAGAGGTCGTGGGAGTTTCGACAGGCGTAGTTGGTGTCATGCAGTCTTCGCTATTCATCCAGGGAGTCTGGCCATGGCCAGGGGTACCCGTAGTCCAGCTACCAGGGATCAAGCTCACTCTTGTGATAGAGTGACCAGTAACTGTAGAGAATGACACCACAGGTACGGTTACTGTCTGGGTATACCAGGTGATGGTAGTGCAGGGAGTGTCGGCGGGTGGCGGAGGCGTAGTGGCGATGACCGAGGCCGTGGGAGTTCCCGTGGACTCATTAATATGGCTCGAGCATGTGCTGGTTGGGACAATGTCGATGATAGCTGGGTTGATCGGGACGTAGGGGGCGCAAATGCCAGCAAAATACGACAGCCCAGACTGGATCTCCTCCTGGGAGCTGCCCCATGCATTGATGCAGGACGTGACTTTCTGCGTGAACATGGAAGACGGGCAAAAGCATGCAGTATCGCTGTTCGAATCACACTCAGGCATGGTGAGCCAAGTGTTTATGCACTTCGGAACCACATCAGGGCAGGAAGGCTGCGAAACAGCGGGTGGTGTTGCCACCGTCGTGGGCGTCACGAGGATAGTGCGTGTAATTGTCGTTGAATGGACATTAACGGCAGGCGTCGTGTAATCAGGTCCAGTCTCCGGGAGAGTAGACGGACACACAGTGGTTGACAAACTATACGTAGAGGTGAGTATGATCGTAGAGTGAGGAGGGCAGTCGGTAGCAACGGCAGGGCATTTGGTGACCGTGACCTCCGTGGTAGTCCACACTGTGGAAGTGGTCAGGACCGGGGTCGGGACCGGGGTCTCAGTGTAAGTAAACGTGTGGACCTCCACCACAGTGCTCGTACTAGGCTTGGGGGTCCATGAAGCAGAGATTGAAGGAGTCAGGGGAGGCTTCGGTCCAGGCGAGCAATCGAAGTTGATGCGATGAATGTCCATATCACATTCACCAAAGTCGCTGTCTTCCGGGAGTCTGAACTCTACCGAGGTCGCGCCACCACACTGATCGTTGTAAACATCGAGGCCATCCGGAGAACTCGTAGCAACCTGGTGACATGATGAGCCATCAGCCAGGATGTAGGTAATGAGGACATCGGTAGTCCGGGAAGTTGCGAGGTGGAAATCGCGGACGGAGAATGGCGCGGCGTCGGAATCCACCCTCAATGTCCAGTCATCGTCTCGGGATAGCGTTCCCCCAATACAACTGCCCTTTGAAATGTTAGAATAAACAGCTTGAAAGATGTGATATGAACTTACTGTTCCGGCAGCCTGGCAGTTGCTCTTAGGCGAGAAACCAACGAAGCTGAAGCCCTCAGGGCTCCAGTAATCCCCGTCAGCGAGGTCAGACCAGTCAAACCCAGCTTTCTGGCCCTCCAAGCAGTAGTTGTCGGTATTTTCAGGGTTGGAATAGCATTGATCAGTGCCCCACCACTAGACATCTTCAATTAATTTCACAAGCAATACGTGTCTACACAGATAAGTACTTACAAGACCCGATGGATGAGCGAGCGTAGCAGCGCTAAAGAGCGAAAGGAGGCTAATTACCTTCATTTTTTCAATTTGGAAACGATTGTAGATTTGGATTCGGTAATTTCAAGCATGAATGAGAGAAAAAATTAACCGTTCCCAAGAGGGATAAGTGTCGGCTCGGTAATGGCGCGATTTTGTCGACTTGATTTGCGATGAAAAGAAATTTACGCTGTGGAAATCATGGCTTTTATGCTCCGGCAATAACAACATCAACAAACGAGCTTACATCTCCCAGGGTTACTACCTAGCCATGTTAACTATAAACAACCAATATGAATGAATGGCCGTATCCTAGCCGGCAACGAGGAATGAAGCGTTAGAAATGCGCCACAACCTGAATATTAGAATGCGCCACCAGAAAGACAAACAAGGACCTTACGGACATGAACATTGCGCAGACAAGACTGAGATCTGGGAGCAAACGATTTTTTGGTACGGTACGTCTCGAAATTGGTGTCACCACTTCAAATCTGCACTCTCCCGATGTTTCTCTGACCCCAAGGGCCTAAGATCTATCAATTGAGCATCTACTCGGAGTACACTTTTGGCTCTTTGCTGCACATCACGTGCCTTAACTACAGGGCAAATCACATAGTACAGTAGATCACGTTATTCCCATCTCCGAGAACCGGCCTGGATGCCCAGCATCCCTACCCCTACATTCCAGCTATCGAACAAACCCCTTGATTCTTCCCCTCCCCCTACCCCTTCTCTACTAAATAGGCTCGAAAGTAACATAAAGATGCAGACCACTTTAGGCTCGAATTTGGAGCCTGAATTTTACATACTCCTGCTATCAATTCTACCCCCGATTCTACCGTTGATCTGACTACAAATATCGCCTTTTTCGAGGCCTTCCATTTCAGGGCTGCCACTAAATCTGCTATACAGGCTTCGGTACGAGAGCTCTGCTTCGTGGTAACATCGAAGCAATCTAACTATTGGTCTCTCTAAGGTATTAAATTTAATATTCGAGGCTTCACTGTACTGTAAACCATGTTCAATTTACCGCGACTAGACACTCCCTATAGAAGCGGGGTGTATAATCTAGTCAGTAGTTGTTAGTGGACGCTATAGCCAAAAACTGAAACCGGTTTATCCTTGCACTAGGAGATTTTTCAGCGAGTCTCCTCATCAAGAAGAATGGGGTTTCCCTGAGGACGATTAAACAATGGCTTTTACATTCCGTTTAAAATGTATAGAAACCTACACCGATTTCAAATTTCAGATGCCGGCGTCGAACTGACTCTCATTCTTGCTCTGGGCCCGCTCTACAGTAAGGTCTATGACCTGTTGTTTGTGGCGTTGACAGCTATGTTGCTGAGCGACCTACCCCTTCCGCTAAGACTTCGGCAGAACCCGCCAATGGATCCAAGGGTTGGACCGTAGACCCAACCCGCGACGGGTTCGGGTTGAGACTCAATAAACCGAACCCAACCCATAACCCGCAATGGGGCCGCATTGAGGCCCCATTATAACCCATTTTTGCTTAAAAATTTGGGCTTGGCGCTCATAAATCTGCTTATAAATTATGAACTATAATAATATCAATTACACAATTTCTCTTATTACTCTTATTTTCACCACTATATATGAGGATTTTTTACTAAAATAAAGCGTATTATAGATTACCCTAGCTATATATAGTAGTATTAGTAGCTAGTACAATTACTAAACAAGGAACTTAGTACAGATTTATAATATGCTTGTCAAGATATATATCTGTGCTACAGTGGGAAGCACCATTTTTTGTCTAATCTTAACTTTTTTTATCTAGCTACTTTAATTTTTTTTTTAAATAATGTCGTGATTATTATACTCTAATTAATCATTTTTCATCAAAGTATACTGATATTGCCTACTATAAGGGGCGGTTACTTTCCTGAAAATAGAGCGTAGTTTTCATAAACACGTGTTTGCATTGTTTGTGACCCATTTTGGTAAAGAATGCGTTTCTGCGGGTTACCCATCTGAACCCATTTCCCATTGCGGGTTGAAGAGTTGGACCCAAAACCAAAACCATTTACGGGTTCGGTTGGGTTGGATAATGGGTCTGATGGGTTCTACCGAAGCCTACTTCCGCTAGCTTTGTCTAGATCTAGAACCCTTGACGCCTATTACAAGATTTGGTCTAAGAATATGTCCCTACCGACTACGCAAGAGCCCAAATTCAGGAAAAGACAGGTACGAGAGTCGTGTCATTACGTTGCTCTTGAAGTGAAAATATGCTATCACACAGCAAAATACATAAATAGGGTCGTTGAACGGAGATCAAATAAACCTGCGTGCATAATTTGCTGGATCGTCACGCTCGCGGGGCCTGAATTACTGGACATGCTGCGATAAGCTCACTTGGGGTACATCTTCTCCCAGGGATCGAAATCCGCTGGTCGCTTAAAATTTCCTCCGCGGAATCTCAGAACACAAATACTAAAAACGTTGCTGGAAAAGAAACCACCAGTTACAATCAGACGTGAAATAGTCGATGCCTGTCAGCAGCTAGATACACAGCCTCTGCATATTTGTGACCAACTATTCTTTGCTTGTATTTAGACTCCAAGTCCAGTTACATCGAGCTCAGTTTAGAGGTCGCGTGAGCGATTCCTCTGCCTGAGGCATGTTTAGCTAATATCCTGAGCTGGGCACCATCGCCCTGTCCTTCCAAAAAGAGGTTCGGAATGGATTTGGCAGACTAAAACAGGCTTTGACTTCCATCGTAGCGTCTCATATTCAGGCGTTTTCGTAGGACATAAAATCACATTCGAGCGTGCGGCTCTTTTTTGAACACGTCCGTTTCTTTCTAGGTGCTTATTCTGCCAAGCAGACCTTCGGTCTGAAGAGTTTCCTCAGGCCCCACAGAATGGGGTTCATCACAAGCTGGGAAGGGGGAGTCGAGGCGCCATGATGGTCTTTGTCGCGCTGTCTACCAAAGTTGATGAGGTGGCCAAGGGCACAAGGCAACAAGATGGGTCTGGCTCGGTTCCGGTCGACAGTCTAGCCGAAATCCTACTAAGCCACTACACCAATAGAAACGCATCTTCAAAACAACCGCACTTCTGTTGGCGGCTGCCCCGCAGATAGAGCACAACACCAGGAGACTTTAGCTCGGCCGCTATATCAGCCAGCCGACCGTAGCAGCAGATGTGCTGCTATATCAAGAGATGGCGGATCCAAAAATCTACACCGTCGGCTGGATCTGCGCTATTACTGCTGAATATGTTGCCGCCCAAGCCTTCCTCGATGAACAGCATGCGGGCCCAGAGTCCTTACCGCCTCAAAACAAGAACGACTACACCTTAGGCAGAATTGGAAGGCACAATGTGGTGATTTGCGTTTTGCCTCTAGGTGAATACGGTACCTCGTCAGCAGCCCGAGTTGCCGAGGACATGTTACACAGCTTCCCTAATGTTCGGATCGGTCTGATGGTCAGCATTGGCGGTGGAGCTCCGAGCCCGCAGAATGATATTCGCCTTGGCGATGTGGTAGTGAGCACTCCTCTCAACGGCCGAAGTGGCTTTATTCAGTACGACTTCGGTAAAATGATACAAGGCCAAGGATTCTACCCTACAGGTTTCCTTGATCAGCCCCCTACCCTCCTTCGCGCAGCGTTCAACGGTCTTCAGGCCCAATATGAGATGGAAGGGCATCAACTTGACGAGTCTATCCGTCGCGCTCTTGAGAGGAAGCCACGGCTACGGAGAAAATACCAGAGGCCGGATCTCGAAAGCGACAGGCTTTATCGAAGCCACATCGTTCACTCACCGGGCGGCAGATCAGATTGTAAGGTGATTTGTGGCGATGATTCGACTAGCTTAGTCTCGCGTCATCCACGCTCTGAGGATGAAGACAATCCGGCTATTCACCATGGTTTGATCGCATTAGCTAATCAGCTAATGAACGATGCTATAATCCGTGACGAACTTTCGGTAGAAATGGACGTGTTCTGTTTTGAAATAGAAGCAGCTAGGTTTATGTATCATTTTCTATGCCTTGTGATCTGCGGTATCTGCGACTACTCAGATTCACACAAGAACAACAGCTGGTAAGGGTATGCATCAATGGTCGCCGCAGCGTACGCTAAAGACCTTCTATGTCGAATCGTTCCTAGGCAAGTCGAAACAGAAGAGAGGATTCTGGAAGTTCTTAAGCCATCTCTCGAGTATGTGGCTCGAACTATCGATCGCATGGACCATGATTCCATACTGGCTAAGCTGCCTATTGCGAATGAAGCCAGGTTTGACTCGTTCTCCGATCGAGACGAAGTCCAATGTCTCCAAGGTACTAGAATCGAGATCCTCTAGCAGACCATCGAATGGTCTAAGTCGCCGTGCCAAAAAGCATTTTCTGGTCGAATGGAATGGCTGGGACAGGAAAATCCGCAATATCTCGGACTGTGGCAACGTCACTCAAGGACACCAACCATCTAGGTGCTAGCTTTTTCTTTAAGAGGGGTGAAGGGGACAGAGGGAACGCGAAGAAGCTTTTCCCGACATTAACAAGGCAACTAATGATTAGGATCCCTGAGATGAGTTCTAGCGTGCAAAAGGCACTCGATCAAGACCCTAACATTGCGTCAAAACCGCTTAAGGAGCAGTTTGAGAAACTACTCCTTCAACCGCTGCTAAATATTAACTAACTCGGCCGATAACATCAAATCATTGTAAAAGTTGATCGACGCCTTAGATGAATGTGAATATGATTAAGATGTGCGGAACATCATTCGATTGCTATCTCTTCTAGAGAAGACAAAAGCGGTTCGCTTTCGGATCTTCTTGACTAGTAGGCCTAAACTCCTAATTAGCCTTATTTTTTGAAGATCGCGGAGCATGACTATTAGGACCTAGCTCTTCATAAGGTACTAGAAGAAGTGATAGAACACGATATACATTTATTCCTATAGGACCGATTTGCGAAGGTCCCAAACGATAGAAATATTTCGGAAGAATAGCTGGGCGATGACGTCATCCTGGAATTAGCCACAATGACGGTTCCACTATTTATTTCGGCTGCTACCGTGTGCCGTTACATCGAAAATACAAAGTGAGAACCTAAAAGCGCCTCGCAGAGCTTAGATATTCCAACAAAGAGGTCACCAGACAATGCCGAGATTTGCTCCATATATGTATGAAGCACTGAACAGTGAGTTTAGTCGTGTACTGTTTACTAGTGTCTTTAATATACGGTACAGGCACTACTCAGAATCGAATAAACTTTTTTTTTTTTTTAATTCTAATCCTAGCGATTTTTCGTGCCTATTATCGCGGAGAACTTTGACAATATCCGGTGTCAGGGATTTAGATCAATTAACCGGCCCCCTCGCACTATACATACCACAGACAAGCTAAGTGTGCAGCCGGGGCTGGGGTATTAATGGGGAAGCTCTGTTCATATGCGGGGTATCCAGGCGCTAGCTGGGATATAGAGAGATATGTTGCAGTTTTTGTCCGGATCGTCGGTCAGCATATCCCATTTATCCGACTTACAGCTTTTCCACATCTGCATCGTGTGATCCAGTAATTTATGGATTGTTGTATTGACTTGTGTAAGAGTCTGTCTGATCCTTGACCTGAAGACATATCTATAAAATATATGTACTCAGGGGCAAACCCCTTACCATATAGAAACAGGTATCTAGCAGTTCTTTACCAGGTCACATGCTTTCCGTACAGAAAGCTTAGCGTCATACCTCATACTGCTCAGCAAGTTCAGGTTCGTAAGGGTAAGATACGAGGGAAGCTATCTACAGCTGGTAGGAAGCCTTATAGAAGCCCTGCGGAGTCCCCTGTCATGGAGGACCCTTTAGGCTGTTTTAAAAACAAAAGTATATATTATTTTCAATTAAAGGCTATTTGTTTGTTTCGGCTATATAATTAGTGTTGATCACGAAAACCAATATATATAAGTTCAGCAACTTCGTTCTCATGCCTTTCAAGCATAACAATTTTGCTCTTTAAATTCAATTCCTTTCACAGCATTGTTTCTTGAGGAAACCTTTATTCAGACATTATGTTCTCTTTCACCACTGCTTTCGTTGCTGCTACGGTTGCGGTTGGCGTCCTCGCCAGCCCTGCGGCAGCACCCGCCGCGATTACCAAGCGCGATACCCCCAACTCATCAGGCACGAACAACGGCTACTTCTACCAATTCTGTATGTGCAATGCCAGCATTAGTTCTTAATCCTCAAAAAGCTCAGGGCTAACCCAACATTGAGGGGATGATGGCTCCAATGGCACTACCACCTACACAAATGGGGCTGCCGGCGAATACTCCGTGAACTGGCAGAATGTTGGTGATTTCACCGCAGGCAAGGGCTGGTCACAGGCTGAGGCCAGGAATATCACCTTCTCTGGTAGCGTCAACTGTGGGGGCAACTTCTACCTTGCTGTATACACTTGGTCACAACAAGGCGAGAACTATGTAGGTCCTCTCTGCGGACTGACGCAATGATATGCGACTGCAATCTGACCCAGGATAGATCCTCGAGGACTACGGCACCTACAATCCGTGCTCTGATGGCACGAGCATGGGCAGTCTTTACAGCGATGGGAGCGAGTACCAAGTCTGCCTGGTCGACCGTGGGAACAATTACCTCCAGAACTGGTCCATCCGCCAGAACAAGCGTTCCTCCGGCACTGTTACAACGGCAAACCACTACAATTACTACCAGTCTCAGGGCATGACCCACAACCCGCTTAGCAGCGCCGCTTATCAGATCGTCTCTACCGAGGGTTTCGACAGCTCTGGTTCTGCCGATATCACCGTCTCCTAGGCTAGTAGTGGTTCAGGTTCGAGCTCTTCAAGCATGCAAAGCACATCTACATCTTCGACACTGTTGTTGAGCCCTACCTTTGGCAACTACTCTCAGCTCTACGGCCAATGTGGTGGCATGGGCTGGACCGGTGGTCTATGCTGTGTATCTAGCACCTATAAGTATTCCAATCCATGGTACTCCCAGTGCTTGTAGTACACGTACAACAATTGGCGCTATAGCAGAAGGGTACATAAATAGGACCAAGGGGCAGGGTCAAAATCACCATGCTTATTGGGCTTCAATAAGAAATTACCTGCTTGAGCTCGGGGTCCATAATAAATAGGGTACCGTGTGGGGAAAACGGGTTGAAAAGTTTCTAGAAAAATACTTTGATATTGAACTAGCGCCTAATAAATAAAGATTTGGCTGCCCTCATTAGAGCCGTCGTGGATTTCCTATATATGTGTACTGAGTACTCCAACATTCCATACAGTGCTTCCGGAAATTGGTGTCACCACCTACACTGTTCGATTGTTTCTCACTCCCTAATGCCAAGATCCACTACGCTATATTAAGAAAAGCCGCGGAGTATCGATATTCCTGTGTCGTTACCTATACCGTATGTTACTAATTTAATACATGACGTTATGTCTCGACGCTGTATGGGTGATCCATGAGATCTACAGGAATTTTCCACGGAAATGCAAAACAGTCAAACCATCAGTATACGCAAGCAAACAAATAATATCATGTTATATCAATCCTGAATAACCTCACAATCCGTCAATCCGTAACAGTCAACCCCTGACATCTCTATGATTTAGCCCGATCTCTCTGATGAGGGCCAAAGCCACAATCAATTGCTAGCGCATCTATCGACAAAGATAAAACTTGATGAAGAGAAAAAGAGAGAGAAGAAGAAACAAGACGAAAGAAATGGCGATTGTGGGTCATATGAACTAAAATACAAACGGAGCAAACGAGGCCTTCGTGGCCGAATCGTCCTACACAGGCTTCAGCCTGCATCACTCTCCACCAAAATATCGGCATACCCCTAAGGTCCTTCTTTGGTAGCTGGGATGCGAAATCCTGTCATCAGGTAGATACACACAACAGCGTATTCCATGACAAGCACCATGGCGACATATGGGCCAAGTGCTCCCTGGAGAGCATTCCACTTCCCATGGTCTGGGTGAAAGACAGAGAGAAACAGGTAGACTATCCGGACGAGCAGAAAAGGAATGGCTGCTGCCATTCCTTGCATGACCTGGTTGTTGGTATTAGCGTGTGCTTTGGCATAGGACGAAGGAGGAAGACTACTCACCTTGGTACTGGAAACAGAGAGAAATACCCGCATGTGCCAAAAGTATCCCTGTAACAGAACAAGACATAGAATAAAAATCGCCATGATGATATACCCTGCTTTGACCAGGGTTTTCGCGGTGGAAGGGTCGTTCTCACTAAGGGAACTGCCCGCAACAATTAGGACAATTCCGGCGGTGAAGAGTACCCTTGACACGATGTAGCCATTCCGAAACTTGGGGTCGTTTTTCATGTCATGGAAAGCCCTGTATTGATCAGTGATATGCAACATCAATTGCACGGCAGGTTGTACTCACACTAAGCGTAAGAGGCCGACGGTGCCATTCACCAAAGGGAAAAGTCCCGCGTTTAACAAGATGAGTGCTGCTATTGCTAGGCTGATACTTCGGGGATCGTTGCCATAAAGGATTACCACAATTCCACAGGCAATGCGAACTGACATAGTTAGACACGGAAAGTACCGGTACTGGTTGGGACATACCCAGGGAAAAAGCTAGAAGACAGATCCATGGCATTCGTGGTCTGCCGTGTCGGTGAAAGAGCAGGGTTGCCGCAGCAATTGCTCCAGGAAGATAAAATATAATCAGAGCAATGCTCACCTTGGACCGAGCGTTCAACATGGTTGTGGTAGGCACAATCTGTTCCTAGGAATGGTAATGGAGTTCTTGTAGGGGGGTCTGTAGAAATATATAGGGGTTCTAGTGGCCTTTCCTCAAAAGAAAACACTGCCACTAGGATCTTCATTGCGCCTAGGTCCCATTTCCACAAATAGACCAAGCTGGTGTATATATCACGTGACCTCGCAAGTGTTGTCCCAAAAGGGGTTAATGCAAGTGGGTCAGAGATACTTTAGCATGCGCAGCTCGCGGGTCTGGAGACGCTCTAGGGTCACCTGGATCCAGACAAAGTGTTGCTGGTGGTGTGCTTTGTTGGAGAGGATAGCCTTGCAGATCGCTAGTGGTGTTGATGCGATGGACGCCCCCATGAGCTGATTTGTCTCGTCCAAACAGAATTCGGCGGATTGGCAGACATTCGTAATCATTGGCAAGACATCGCAGGGAGGAAGATGGGGCGATGGATTCTCGTTGAGTTGTTCTAGGTTCTCGTAAATCTCATGCCAGCCGGTCCAGAGCAAGGCGCAGGTAGCCCAGTACATCATCAGATGCCCGGCCGTCTTGACATTGGGGAAGTGAAAGGCGACAGGGAAAAGAGGTCCCTTCATAGGGTCGCCCGCAGGGTCATAATGCCGAGAGAGAGCAGACCAGTACAAAGGACCCTCAACAGAATCATTGAGTATAGAATAAATATTTTGAAGTGTGGTGTCAAGAGACTGGAATTCTGCCATCAACCTCAAACCCAGGAGTCTCTGATCTTCAGGTGACAGATGCTCAAACAAATGTATTTGGTGAAAAAGTCGTGGAATATGTGCTACACAGTCGATGATTCGATCGATGAGCTTTTTAGCAAATTTCTGCCATGGCTTCTCAATCCACTCGGCCTGCGCCATAAAGCTTGGTTCCAACTGCCCGAGGTCGTAAAAAATCTGCTCTTGCGTTAGACAACGTCTAAATCATATTTTACTGTAACGCACCCCTTGGACGCGAAAGGCAAGAAAGAGTTGATGTCCCAATCCTGATGTATGCGCGTCCACACCGCGAGCTTGGAGTAGGGATAAGAGCCCCCTACAGTGCTGGTAATACCCTGCAACATGTCTGGCTGGACATTCCGTAATTTCATACATGGCAAGTGTCAGGCATGCGGCCAAAGTCTCGTCATGTCGAACAAGGGCTGGGGTGGAAAGTGCCGTTTGAAGCTCTCGAAGACCACGAGTATAGAGACGCAGGCTTTCCTGCAACAAGGCCGAATCATCCTGCGTGCGAGCAATGATAGCAGTGCACAATGCCATTCCTGAGTACTCCAGAGCTTGGGTCTGAATTGGCAATTGTAAGAGCTGGGTGAGCCATGATTCGTTACCACCAAAGGCTGCAGTCTGAGGGACAAAATGGGTGTGAAATTCATCCAAAAAATGTTGACGGTAGCCGGTCTGAAGAAGAGACCATGGCTTGGTGAGATCCAAGTCTCTCTTCGCTGATGGGTTGACCTGGACAAATACCAGGGCCCGCTGGTATCCCGGGCAGTGCCGCTGAGATCGGGCGCATTGCAGGCACTGAGGTTTTTGCTGCCCGCACTACTACTGATTAATCGCTGCTACGCCAGACTTGGGTTTCCAAATTACCTTGATTTTTCGCTTTCTACAGGCGTAGCAGCCCTTGGATCCCCCAGGGACGCCGACCATCGCGAGTGGTTTTGTGGGCGGGCAAAGATCGATCACATGAGATATTAAATGTTGAACATGCAAGACCAAAAGAGTGTTGTATTGTAAAACTAGCAGTGGAGCAGGCAACTAAATACAGAAGGGGCATCATGTGACTACACGTGATCCGTAAGAGCTCCGCTGTGAAGGAAGACGGGTGTGGTGGGAATGTTGGACGTGGGGCACGGAGATAACAGGTAAGACACAAAAGCCCGGCTTACAGTATACAATAATCCGGTATTTTACGGTACAAGGCCAAAACCAGGGGTTTTCTTTGACTATGTTAAAAGCAGCCTAGTGCTCTTTGGCACTAGGGTTCGAGAAACAATGAAAGAGTGTAGGTGGTGACACCGATTTCCGGAAGTACTGTACAGCGGTGGAACGAGAACTAAGTTAAAAAGAAAACTCTCAGTCCACAAGCAGCATCACCTCCGCCGTCCCACTTCCCTCCCAGGTTCTTAACCTCCTAGGGGGATTCTCCAGACCATTTTAGTTTATTACGGATTTGCTACACAGTACGGCGAGGATAATGTTGACTGTGAATCGACCATAGAGTACTACTGTGCATAGGTTTTATAGAACGACACATGGCCTTATCACAATACATATTACATTATCATCGTCGAACTTTTGCTGAGATACGATCGAGTCAGGAGGCATTTCAGATACGTCGTAGTTAACCAAGCACATTACACTCTCTTTTTGTCTTTGTGAAAATCGCAATGTCCATGCCATTTCCCAGCATGTGTAATCGGAAAAAACCCCGCATCTTCAACAGGAAGGGTTCTGGAGATATTAACTAGGAATCAGCCGAGGAATGCTCCATAATATACTCCTCAATCCGACAGCCGCCCGAGCCCCGGTGCGAGAGCCTAAATCCAAGCACGCCTATACAAATATTCTGCGATAACCTAAATAGCAATATGTTGTCAAATTAAAGCGGATGACGCATCGACAGGGAGATGATAGATATAAATTCCGGGGAAACATGTTGATATATCTCGATGACAACAAATTTCGACGTCTTACCACTCACGTTTCCGAGAATACCTATCGTTGACATAAATATGCAAAATGGTTTTCCTAGCTCTAGCTGTCTGGCTGATATCTTTGTATCCATCCAGCGGGATGGGACATGAAATAGAAGTCGATGCCCAGGCACACCTGCCTGCCGGAGCTTCTAAGCCTGTAGAGCACGCATTTGCATCGTTCTCATTCCCGATTCATTTCTTCGCGGATTATGCTGGTAAACAAAACAAAGACTATTGTGAATATACATGCTGCTTATACCTTATACATAGGAAACAAAAGTCAGCCCAATCGTTTTTCACAGGACATCATCAAGCTTCTATACGACAAGACCGGAGAGTGGCCGTATATTAGAGTTGGAGGGACTTCTGCGTGAGAACAACTGTACCGAAAAAGCGAAGAAGCGATTACTGACATTAATTAGCGATCGCACCATCTATAATGCTTCCCAAACTCAGGCTATAATCCTTTCATCTGTTTCGGATAATGGCATTCCGCTTGAAGTCACGGTAGGCCCTGTGTTCTTCGAAGGCTTTGAGAATTTCTATGAGACGCCTTGGACCTTTCAAGTCAATTTTGCAAACAACAAAACTGAAGCTTTAGAAAATGCCATTGCAGAGGCAGAGGTGGCTCTGAGTCACATAAAAGACAACCTAGTTGCTTTTGAGATTGGCAACGAGCCCGACCTCTACCCAGGAGCCGTACGGCCACTGAATTACACGGTCGCGAATTATGTTGACGAGTGGAATTATTTTGCTGATGCTATCTCTGAAAAAGTATTGCGTGGAAACTCGTACGGTCTGGAATCTGAGAAGCTATTCCAGGCTCTGACTTTCGCTTCCACAATGAACAACTTCACAACGTAGGTATCCAGCCAAGGAAAAAAGCAGAAAGGCACAACTTAAACTGACTGGATATCAGATACAATGCTTTCAAAGATGGAATTGCCTCGCATGGGCATGTCAAAACTGTTTCATTGCACCAGTTCGTTCTTCTTTAGCACATGTTATAGTGACGTTCACTCAACTGAAAACAGGTATGCTGCGGGTAACCAACCGTGGGTTAGGCTCCAAGGCGAGAACAGATGCATCAGCCGACTAGTCAAGTTTCTAATTTAGCTCAGGGTCGTTCATGAACCATACGGCAATCGCTGCAAACTTGAGCCAATATATCGAGGACATGGAAATTATTCGGGCCAATAATCCCACAATTTCATTTCTCCTCGGTGAGACAAACAGCGACTATGTCAACTTAGGCATGAGCCAAGACGAGGGTGTTTTTGGAAGCTCCCTATGGCTTGTGGATTTCCTGCTCTATGGAATGAGCCTAGTATGTCCACCGTAGCCTAGTATCCCATACTATCTGACAGTCTTTTAAAGAACATTACACGTTTCAATCTGATTCAAGGAACTACATTTGGGTATACAGCATGGGTCCCCATTGAATCCAATGAACAGTCTCCTCAAGTGAGGCCCCCGCTTTACGGACAATTGCTGGCCGCCGATGTGATTGGCAAACACCCCAAGGTGCAAGTCAAATCACTGGATTTAGGTCGATGGGACTTGTCCGCTTATGCGATCTATGAAGGAGATATCTTATCCAAATATGTTGTTGTTAATTTGGATGAGTGGAATTCCACAACGCCATACCCTCGACCCGTGCAAACAATCGCCCTTTCTTTGCCACGGGAGGTTAAGAGGGCTGAGATCAAACGGCTCACTGGACCAGGAGCAGAAGCAGTGGCATATATCTCCTGGGGTGGTCTCAGTTGGAACTATACCGACGGGAGACTTGGAGAATTTGGCCAGCCCCAAGTCCAGATTTTCCATGAACATGATGGAAACGCAAGGTTCTCTTTGCATTCGACTGAAGCAGCCGTCATTGAGCTTCACAGAGCTTGAATGATGAGCTACCTGCGCCCGAAGAGGTTCACTCATATGTGTTATTTCAGAAGTCAATGAGAATGCTGTTCAATTTCGAAATAAATTCAAAATTATTGATTGCTGCAGTAACTTATTCAACGCTTACCACCAGTTACGCAGTATTGGGAATCGGGCTGCATAGGAACATACTGGCCAGTGCGGGTCGCGGTTATCCAGCCCCGGCGCATTGGCCAAGCCGACCAAGGTTCGTGCCTGAGGCCAATTACCGGTTGGGCCTGAATGCTTATGCATGCGAGCCTCGACTAATAACTACACGGTGGTAGGAAAATATACCTATTTCTTGAGGGCAGCGTCCTTTAAGGCATAATGGACCAGGGTTAAAGACCCTGATTCGGACCGGACCCGTCATAATCCACCTCCACGGGTCGAATGCCTCGCATCGGTCTCTAACTCGCGAAGTCAAACAAGAAAAGTATTTCACTTGGTCCACGATTCTTCGCACGGGAGGCGTCAACTTTAAGCCGTCCTGGAGAGCTGAAGCTACTCTCAAGAGACTGTCACTAACATCCGAGTTAGGAAAGGGAGCGGGGGATGCCGAAGGGACCTCTCTGAGTCATTCCCCCACTTGTTTGTGTGCAAGACACATGGTCTAGCAACTCGATTTAAGCCGCGGCCAGAAGATTACACGAACATTGCTTCATCAAAGCGAGTTACCTTCGGCAAGGAAGAATCCCGCGCAGAAGGTGTGGACAATCGTTTCGCGCTCTCCCATCTGTTCGAGCAAGAGTTGGAAAACCACCCACAATGAATCTCGGACCTCGGCTAGCCAAATTAAACGAGGTTCTTGCCATCGAGGAGATTGTTCACCAAGCCTACTCCCCTTATGTCGAACGTATAGGGCGGTGTCCAGAACCAATGTTGGAGGACTATACTGCATTGGTCAAGGAAAGTCGGGTTTCAGTTATCGAGCAAGGCGGAATAATACAAGCAATCCTTGTACTCATTCCAGAAAAGGACTCGTTGTTATTGGACAACATCGCTGTTTCTCCATCCGCACAAGGATTAGGATTAGGTCGAAGGATGATGGAATACGCTGAGAGGATTGCTTTGGAAGTGGGATACCCGTCTATTAGGCTATACACAAATGAGGCCATGGCGGAAAATATTCGATATTACACTCGCATTGGATATGTGGAAACGCATCGAGTTGAGGAAAAGGGGCTCAAGAGAGTGTACATGTCTAAAGCCTTGAGCTAGAATATATTTTTTAGCCTATTCAGCATGACTTTTGCAACACCTCTTGCTCTGTTCTATGGATTAACTATCAACACCGGACGGGTCAAAAAGTCTTGGCTGAGATGAATCATGATTGGTGTTCATGTGTGCTTTTATAGGAAAGGTAACTGCAAACGCCTGAAATAGCATCTAAATGTGAACTACCAAGACCGCAAAATAATCAATCAATGACAAAAGTCTCGATTTATATGCCAACCCCATAATATCCTGTTGACAACCTTCTCCCATCATGAACCTTGTTCGCTCATTCGTGATCTTTATTCTGAGGCACCAATGAAACAACACTATGGGCCTCCAGCTCCGTCGGTCCGCGAATATCCCGAAGTTGTGGGTTATCCCAGTGCCAGGATGGAAGCCCTTTCTGGGATGTAAAAGGGACAGGTGGCGATATGGAACTTGGTGCTGACGAATAGCCCTTTTGAGTAGGACTAGATACAGATGCAAAATCTGCTGTGCCGAGCTTTGGAGTATCACCAGTTAGCTCACTGTGATGCCGATGATGCCATGACTGCCTGTTAGACCCGAAGAGTGCCCACTGAGCAGTGCGCTCAGAACGTCCATCTTGTGATGACATCCACTGTTTGTAAACTCGATTACGACCCATCACGAAGAAAAATAACATTAGAATGACCACAAAGGCAAAACATGCAATTACAATTCCGGCAATTGCACCACCACTCAGCCCTTGGCGGCCTTGGAGCAAATTTCCTATGGCACTGGGAGATGATTTCGATATAGTAGTGTTTGAAACTGAATTGCCTTCAGCTGGCGTTGGCTGTCCCGGAACCAGCATATAGGGATACGTGAGTGCTTTCTGAAATTGTGCTTCATATGTCTCGTTCAAATCCTTTCACGAAAGGTTAGTGTCTGTTATTGTTTGGGATGAGATGTAGACATACTGGGTTGATGGCTCCTACCATACCATTTACTATGCACGAGCCGATAGCGGTACAGTAAAAGAATGTCGGCTGAAATTGCATGTGTCAGGGTAGTTCTTAATTAGTGTTGTACTTGGTACATACCTTGGTATCATTGATACGTATTGACCAAGTCGGAACCTGGATTTTAGCAGTTAGCTACTTCGTGTGCCTGTCGACTCCATCAATTCCATTTGTCTACTTACTGAACCAACAAGATTCCCATTGTCTTCGTCAAACGTGTTAAAGGCACCGGAGTAAAACAATCCCTCGCTAGCGGGCACGCAAGGGGCAAGATAGTCTGCTTTGACAACAGAATGATTCGCTGGGTAGAACTCGAAGACAACAATATCTCCGACGTTCGCTGTGATATTGTGCGGTACATATCGGTGCGGCGCCGTCTTGGGACCGACTTTAATTGTGTGAGTAGCTATGGCAGTGGTAGAACTGGTGGTGAACGAGGATGTAGTCTTCGTTTTTGCTTCTGTCGCAGACGTTGTGTTGGTTTCTGCCAAGGCAACTACGGCTAGTAGCGACCAACCGAAGAGGTGGTGCAGCAACATGTCGAGCTGGGAGTCGATTTGAAATGTACAAGCAAAAGGGACAGAGAAGTAACTGGAACTGAGAATTCTGTGCATGGAATAAAGTGTACAGTTCAGCCAGCTCGAAAGTAAGACCTTCGAACAAAGGGAAAAGCAAAGCCCATTTAGGCTGAACGTTCATAGGCTGCAATGTCGCCATCGTCTTTGTTCGAACTCTGTGTGGCTGTTACTTAGTTCAAAAACGGGAACAGTCTCAAACCTTCTTCAACAGGAAACATGGAATCAAGGGTCGCATAGCCTCCTCAATTGGACAAATCATAAACAGGGTCTTTGTCAGACCGCCAGCCGATACTTGGGGCATATTTCTCATTTTTCCACGCATATCTTCAAAATGGTCGAAGAAAATTCGAAAGCTGAGGTTCTCGAGACAGCAACCTGCTATTAAAAATATACTGACGTGATGCCTCGGGGTTCTCAAAACCACATCAGGCTCGAGTGAAAAAGGCAAAGAGCATCAGCGAAAACCGTCGGCGCCGGAATAGGGCAATGCATATGAATCAGCGGCGTCTAACCCCTGTCAGCCTTCTCTTTGACCAGCGCCCTGTTCGGGAATCATGAACTTTAGTCGACCGTGCATACTCTCAAATCATAATTTCATTGCAAACAACGGGCCTTTTTTTTTTTTTTTTTAAAAAAAGGCGATAATACCATTGCTGTCCCGGAGAATTGCGTAGAGAGATGAATTACTATGTAAGGTGGATCGAGAAAGAGCCAAAAGAAACTGAAGCCTTACTCTGCCTTTCTGCCTAAGGTTTCAGTTCCCGGCATCCTTTGTTGCCTTTCTCTTTACGTGACTTCACTTGGGGTCAAGCGCAATTATCCTCCCTCTTTTCTCATACATACATTTGTTCTATTTTCTGGCCGCTCTGAACAGGTTATAAGCTCTGCAGCAGCCTTTCAATGTCGATTCTCATGGTTACTGGTCCAGATCTGGACGGACCGTGATACGGTCCGTCTTCACGGTCCGCCTTGATCTGCCGTGACCGGTCCGTTTTACTTGCCCATCCCAGCATGGAAAGCCTAGAGGATCAAAATTGCACCTGAGAAAGTATCGTAAGATTTTTTTGAAGGCGATAGAGACACCTCTACCTCGTCGTTGCATATCCGGCCACGGGCCGTGAAAAGCGGGTCCATGTTCTCAAGACTACGAAGCCAGATAATTATAAAGGGCCACATACCCTTCCACTTATGATCTGGTTTAATTCACAGTCTTCAATTATCGGGACGAAATGGATAAGAGCAAGCGCATTGCCATTGTTGGCGCTGGGGCCTTTGGCCTTTCCACGGCACTGAGACTAGCTCAAGAGGGCTATGGCTCAGTGACTGTCCTGGACCGAGCCATTCCTCCTGTGCCAGACGGTTCCAGTGTTGACATTTCACGCATTATTCGGTTTGACTATGGAGACCCGACATACGCTCGCATCGCAAAAGAGGCATACGACATGTGGAAAGACTCCCCGGATTACAAGGACGCATTCCATTCTGCGCCCTGCGTGTGGATTTCTCACGAGGCGACTCCAGACCATGTGGTCCAGCCTGGGGCTGCAGAATATAGTCTCAAAACAAAGCAAGTTCTGACCAACATGGGCCAGGAGTGGCACGCACTGGGAAGCGGAGCAGAGGCCAGGAAAGCATTCCCTACGTTGACAGGCAAAATGGATGCCCCTGGTTGGGACGGCTTTTACAACACCTCGGCTGGCTGGGCAGATGCAGGAGCTGCTGTCGCACAACTTGCAGCCCGATGTATCTCAGCTGGAGTTTCAATCATTGCGGGTCCGAATGGCCAGGTTTCTAAATTCGAGGAACGAGAAGATGGAACAATTAGAGCCGTCCGAACTATCAACGGAAACAAGGTTGACGCGGACTTGTTTATTGTTGCCGCCGGTGCTTGGTGTGCCAGTCTCATACCGGCCTGGAATTCCATGTTGGCTGCTGGACAGATTGTGGGATACTTGCGCCTGTCACCAAGCGAAGTCGCCAAACTGAAGGACCTCCCTATCTACTTCAACTTCTCCACTGGGTTCTTCTGTTTTCCCGCCCATGAAGCTTCGGGATATCTCAAAGTTGCGTGCCATGGCTACGGTTATACCTCGTCGGAGACAGGTGTATCGGCACCTCCCAGCATGGCCGTCTCGTCGAGGGCAAATTTCATCCCTGCTGATGGCGTGGGAAGACTTCTTGCCGGGTTGAACGATATCCTGCCCGACCTTGTTACCCGAGGATTTGAGCGAGTGGGACTGTGCTGGTACAACGACACCCCGACCGGAGATTTCATCATGGACTATCATCCCCAGCACAAAAACATGTTTATTTGCACTGGTGGCAGCGGACAGTAAGTGAAACGGAGACTGGACTATGCAAGTCCTATGAGCCGATCTGGCTAACCTCAGATTAAACAACAGTGGATTCAAATTCTTGCCTGTCATTGGAAAGTACGCTGTTGGAAGCCTTGAACGAAAGCTTCCCAACGATCTTCTAGAGAAATGGAAATTCCCTACACAGTTCCGAAAGGGTTTTCAGGAAGAGATATTCACGGGAGACGGAAGTCGAGGAGGGCCGGAAAGAAGAGAGATGACAAGCCATGAACGCGACTCGTACAGCTGCGCTGGGAAAGCAACTGTGGCAAGGCGGAGCAAGATCTAAATATGAAACCATAAATACAATAATGAGTCTATGTTTGAAATTTCGATGGCCTACGACCCACTGATTGAAGTTCACAAACTAATACACCATTAACATTTCGACTTCACTATCTCTCTGCTAGATAACCATCCAGGAGCATCCAGTCAGGAATGCCAGGTATCCCCTCTCCAAGATTATCACAGTCGTTCCGACCAGCAAACGGCCAACCTCGCATGGAGTATTCGCGTTCACATTCAGGCATTTGCGTGTGGAGATGTTTTGCACTGGGAGAAAGAATCCTCGAGCCATGATCTAACACCTGGACGTCTGATATAGGTAGTTGGTCCACAGGATGTGAGTCTCCCATCCCGATATCCTGATCTAGCGAAGGGCTTAAAGACTGGTTTGCCATTCCAACAGGCCCAAAAGACGAACCGAGATCAAGAATCTCCCACAGCAGAGCTTCGTCCTCGTCGGACATTCTTGGTATATTCAATGTAGTGGGCATACTGGGATGAGCCCCGGAATATCGACCCTGATTGTAATATAGAGATCCATAATCCCGGTGCCGCACAGCTATTTCGTTCACACGATCAACCTAGATGAGAACTATTAGTAACTATTTATTTTTCCTGCCACGCTGGTTAACTCACCAAGACCTTCGTGCTCTCCCAATGTATGGATAAGTGAGTCATGAAATCAACCAAAACTCGAAACTCATTGTTTACCATCAGAGCAACCTTTGGCCTCTTGTTGACTGTGTGTTCTAGTTGAATGGTGGCGGCTATAGCTGCAAGATACCCAAGAAATGGGTCATGGACCTGGAAATCAACCTCGGACATTTCCTTGGCCAGTCGCGCAATCCATCGAGAATGAAGGAGGGAACTTTCGTACGACTTTTGCAAAAATGTCGCGGAGAGATTTCCTTTCATGTTGCGAAGTTTGGCCATCGTGAAAAACGGATGATGCAGAATGCACTGGATCGAATGCAGAAGGAATTGGCAGCATAACCATGTTGAAAGATACGCGCGAGACTGGGTATCGTCGCGAGCTCGTCGCTTAAAATCCACATTTATATAGCGGTACTTGTCTGGAAAATGCGTTTCAAAATCTAGCCACTCCGACTCTAGGACTGCAAGTGCAGACCCAGTTTGCCAGGGAGGCAACGCGTCTTCGCCGAATGGTTCAAAAACATACTCTGTGGCTTTGCCCCATAGAGAGTGCAGTCTGATAAGGCATGTCAAGATGCCCTGGTCTGCGTTTTCTCCCATCCTTCTTGGGATAAGTTGTAATCTTTCGTTTGTTGGTGAGCCTTGTCCATGATATGACTCTTCTGTATCTGTCCCCGGAAGCTGGAGAGTGAAGTGTTTGTCTGCAAGACATGGGGAATAATTCCTTGAGGCATTGTAACTGCGGTCCAGCATGAAGAATGCCCAAGTTATGCGCCTCGTTTCCTCTGCCTCGGAATGCTGCAGGGTCGACGCGTGCTGCTCCCTGTTCAGACCAGCAGACTGAATGGTTCGAATACCAAGAGCAACAGAAGCATACGCCCGTTGGGCCCGACCGTCAGCAAAGTCAACCTGAGCTAACAGGAAGTTTCCCTGTAGAAACGAAAGCCCCATTTTGGAATCTCTGTATTGCTTTGACAGGACATCCCATGCCTTTCCAGTAGAGTATTTTGTGACTGACATGTTGTTTATAACATCCAAACGTTGTGTGAGTCGGGACGTAAGGGCTACCAGTGGAAATGCAATCTCCGGAGGTAGCAAGAGTGCGTTTGCGATCAGCCAACTTTTGGAGAAGACACAGTATGGTTGATCATGGAAGAATCTGAGGTATGTCTCTACTTCTGATTTCATGAAGTCGTCGGAGAATACGGGCCTTGTTAAAAAATGTATCAGATTCTGTCAGACGTAACTTGAATTTGTTGACACTCACCCAGGTAAAATGCTTTTGCTCGAACTTGGAGAACCAAATATCGGTCCATAATTAGTAAAAGGCGCATCAGGAAAAATGGAATTATTATGCGTAGATGAAACATGGGATGATTGTGAATTCTGCACAGGTGCTCCATTGAATGGAGTAGCTCTCGACAAGTTTTGTCTAAAATGAGCAGATTTTATATGTTAGTACCAGTGTGGTGACAAAGGCCGAAACAAACGAATCATCTGATGAAACATACTGCAGGATATTGGTCAAGTCGTCTAGTCGTTTTTCAATCCGCTGAAATGCCTGCGATCCTTCTATATTTGTCTGGTTTGTCTAGCAATTGATTATCAGGTCCTCGAACAGATATGGGGGTTGGTTGGTGGGGGTGGTGTAACACTACTTCTTGCAATTCACTTGTATTTTGTTCCTGACCATCGTTGGAGGGGGCTCTAGTGTGCCTAGCCCTGTTTGGTGTCGACTGCGAACCATATGTACAACGCTGGCCTAATCTCTGGCACAGTGCGCATGTGGGCTTTTCTCCAGGACAACGCGCCTTCTTTCGACTATAACATACCGGTCAGGGCTACTGTTAAACTTTTGACAGTGGAGCTAGCGTGGCGAAGCATGCCGGAAAATGTATCATGCTCTTCGCATAATTGAATTTGGAACTTACCGACATGGACCACACGCCTGGCGAGTGCGTTTAAGAGAGACTTTGTGTATCGCGTAATTGTCATTCAAAGTGCTCATATCGACCGATTATAAACAGTAGTTTCCCTTCGGCGAACACATATGGATTTGCTATCGAAGACGCATTGGAATTCCGATGGGAAGTGACAGAGGCCGATTTTCGCTTGCATCTGGTTGGTGGAGACGCGCTGACCGCCCATAGAGGGGTTACGGAGCGGATCAACGAAGTACCGTATAGCATGTTCACGATCTATGCAAGTGTTTGATCAATTATGTGTGTTAAGGACTCTGTTGCGCAGAAGGTAAGGCACTGTTTTATTTTAAATCGATATTAAATATTAATGTAGAGCATAATAAGCGGTATAGTGGGCACTGCCTTAAGATTCGCTGAATGCGACGAAGGATATAATCGGCGGGGAAAGCTTCTATTAGTCTACAAGTTGTCAAGCCTCTCGCACCCAATAGCGCTGGGCCCTATGCATGCATTGCATTAAGCGGAATGTGAATGCTCGATACTATGCATGAGCATTTGCGTTAGTGCGCACGACATATGCATGGTCCACAAGGTATGGACCAAATAGAAGAAGTAAAATATTTTTATTCATTTAAATATGACCAGCGACTAGATTGGAACGTGATTCCTATTCAAGGCATACCTTCCTTTAACGTGGCTGTCTCCTTGTGACCTGTCGCCACCCAAGTTCCTTCGCCCTTCCGGCAATCGGTGCCTGCTCCGAGGTCTAGAATCCGGGAGCCATTGTCATGCTTCGTCTTACTCGGAGTCACCCTCAGCATGCCCGTCTCACATACCGATATAGGAACCTAATATCTTGCATTGAATTTTTTTTTTGTGCCGATCGATGTGACCTCACGCAATGTTAGCCAGAGTACCAAAAATATAATATTCTCACAGAGTTGGACACGACCCTCCTATCTTGGAAATTCATCGGTTAGCAAGGAAATGCAGACATTGGACCGGATTCCGTATACTAGTGGCAATTCTGGAACGAAGCCCTTTTGTATTGAGATCCATGAATCATGTTCTAACAATGAAGGGGATCCCGTGGAGCCGATAAGAAACCGCTCATGTGATCGGTTTCAAAGCGGAGCTGATGACATCTCGCTGCGGGGGCGCTAGCGGCTAGTATCATCAGATGGCGCGAGAGTCCTTGTCAACCTGATTCTTTCCTCTTGGAACAAGCTAATTTTGTCAAATATTCTGAACAGGACCGTTCTGACTTAATATTTCACCAATAATATGGGAACAACACAAGAAGTGATGGTCCAGCCAGAAGCCTACTACATCTCCAAAGGCGAATTCGTTCCAAACAACCGGCTTCCTGCTCTCGTGTACCGCAATGTACTTAATCGGCCCGTGACCCGCGAATCAGCCCAAGCTCTTTGCGAGGGAAATCACTGGGAAAAGCGGGTAAGTTAGGATAGGTTCGCTGTAATACCTGCTTGTTCTACCTACACGAATACATACTTTCACATTCATCGATCCCTTTTCTTCGGTACTCACCGCGTTCTGTAGGGTGAATGGGGAGCCATCTGGGAAGCACATTTCCATCCCAACAGCCATGAATGCTATGGTAACCTCCAAAATCTAATGGATGATGAAAATGTCCAGCGATGCTGACACCAGCTTTAGCCATTTTACAAGGTAGCTCGAGGTTAGTCTTGGGCCGTGAACGCCATAATACCTCTTCAGGAGGAGTTGAGATAGATGTCACTGCTGGTGATGTTGTTGTCGTTCCTGCAGGCGTATCCCATCGATCAATTACTGCGCAGGATGATTATCGCTATATTGGAGTATATCCAGAAGTACATCATCCTCCACGCTAACTATGACTTCTGCTAACCGAGCGGTAATCATCAGCAATGTCCCAAATGGCGTAACGACTTCTGCAAAGGCAAAGAAGATATGAAGAAATTGGAGGATGAGATAAGGGCAGTCGTAATGCCGGAATATGACCCTGTGTATGGGAAAGATGGTCCCTTAGTGACGCTTTGGAGAGAAGCGACAAGAGAAACTAAATTATAAATATTATGATACGATTCGTTTGGTCAAATAAATTCAAAATATATCTGTCTCTTATTACATTCTTCATATTTACTTCTAGGTGGATTTGTAGAACTTTGTTGAACAAGGAAAATGAGGGCTTCATGCCGAGATGACTTGTTGGATTGAGAAGTTCGGAAATGATCATATTACATAAATGATCCGTTTTCAGGCGGAACCAAGATAGGTACCCTACAAAACGATGAAGTACAATGATGTTTTGGGACGAAGGTTATAACTTGAAGCTAGTTGAATCAAGTGGCGTGATGCGATCCGAAACTCGAAAAGCTTTCCATTCCTTGACTTTGTTTCAGGGGCGCGCCTTCTAGCAGGAAATCCAGAACCGATTCGGTTAACTGCACCGAACCTTATTACGATAAGAAAACATCATTGGGTTCGACCCCAGTGGGGCAATTAAGGCGTAAGACGGTAGCAACACCGATCAAAACCGGGTGGCGTTCATTCGTCGGCGCATGAACACCGTATACCGGAGTCATCATCCCTGAAGAAATCGACCCTGAATATTTTTGTGTCTATTCTTGAAACTACCGCCGCTACCATATTCCGGTCCTGTGATCGGTATAGCCTTGATATGGAATATCCCACGGCAACACCAGTACCGGCTCTTATCGAAGTCAAAGGTGTTCTGGTAGCTTACTGCTATATAAACCGCTTGTCCTCACCACAAGATGAATGCCTGAGTTCAAGATTCTAAACTCTTCCAATATAAATCAGTCTCATCCTTCTCTACATACACTTGTCTTGCTTGACGTTATGGTTCCATCGATCTTGAAAAACTACTTGGGCCTTGAGAGCAGTCCGGCCCCTCTGCCCACTAAAGATACCAATACACCCGTGAGGGCTTTGCCATCCTCTTGGTACAGGTCTGAAGAGATTTATGAGCTTGAGAGGCGGGCGATCTTCTCCCGAAAATGGATGCTCACTACCCACAAATTGCGACTTCCCAACACGGGAGATTGGCTCCGCTATGATGTGGCTGGCTATCCCTTCATTCTTGTCCGCGACCGTGAAGGAAATATCAACGGATTCCACAATGTCTGCAGACACCGTGCGTTTCCAGTGGTGACCGAGGAGGGTGGTACATCCAGGATCTTTTCTTGCAAATATCACGGTTGGTCCTACGGGCTCAACGGTAAGCTGGCCAAAGCGCCTGGCTACCAAGAATTAGAGGGTTTCGACAAGAGCAAGAATGGTCTGCTGCCTGTTCATGTTCATATTGATTGCAATGGATTCATTTGGGTCAATTTGGATGGGGGAGAACAGCCCGAGATCTCGTGGGAGGACGACTTCAAGGGTATTGATCTTCAGCCCCGATTCCAGGACTTCAACTTCGATGACTACAAATTCGACCACACGTGGGAGATGACTGGGGAGTACAATTGGAAGATTCTTGCCGATAACTACAATGAATGTTACCACTGCGCGACGACACATCCCGATATATCTGCTGTGGCAGATCTCAATTCTTACGCTGTCGATACCAAGGATGGAGGCATCATTCATTTCGCACACGCCCGCTCAGACCAGATAAGGACTGCAAGCACCTATTACTTTCCTAACGCCTCAATGACAGTGACGTAAGTGCTCACTTCCACTGCTAAATATCCAGAGCCTCCACTGACTTATTTAGTTCAAATTTCTTTTTCATGCAGAGATGGGCGCCCACTTCTCAAAACCAGTGTGCGATGAAATACGAAGTGTACCGACATAAGAACGCTAGCGATGTTGACTTCGAATTGATTAGTGGGATGTACAAGCGAATCATGTCGGAAGACAAGGAGCTTTGCATTGCAACGCAGAAGAATCTGAACACTGGTGTGTTTGTCAATGGCGAATTACATCCCAGGCTGGAGAAAGGTCCACTTTACTTCCAGAAGACTGTCCGTGAGCTATTGCAAGAGCACCATAGAAGAGAAGAGGAAGCGCAGCAGCAGATCTGGCCAGCTCGACAAACCCTGCCAAGTGAAGCCTCGACTAGTCAGAACGATATGGACTTTTGTACAGACCTGACCACGAAAGGCCAGAGCGCTGACAGCTGTGCCACTGTCGCTCGTCAGTCTGATGGCTGCTGTGGAGGCATGGCTTGTGGAGCCAGTGGTGCAGCCCTTGTTCAGTGATTTGTGTCCTCCAACTCGGTAATAATTTCAAGACTGCAATGACATTTTATATTTAATCCTTCATAATGATCGAAATCCAAAAACACGCTGGGCAGCATAGCGGATAGTTATTTTCCACTCGTTTTGCGCACACCTCCTGAAACAAAGTTCCACTACCGAGTTTTCTGCAACGCGAAACCCTGCTACAATCACCTGGTCCCTGATTAGACCGCTCTATGACCCTTGAAAAGAAAAAAAGGTTATAGCCCCATGTTGGCAGACTATTCAAACTGACGCCTCATCTGAGATCCTATACAATGATTTGGGGACCCACAGAGCGAAATACCTGCTTGCATGTTCAGAATCAAATACAAAGCCAATGCCTTTGAGCGATACTTAGCATCAACCAGTTCTAGAATATTATATGTTAGGTATCAAGCGGGTAGGGCAGAAAAAGAATCACGCATCAAACCGTCCCCACATGGAATTTTTAACCTCTTTTAGTGAAAGTCGAAGTTTGCTCCACCATAACGGCATCGTTCCACACTTGAACCATCAGCACGGACCGTGGCAACGGACCGCCTGATAGACTAGAATCAAGGGATTAGTAACGTGTTCTTTGTTGTTTTGACCAGGCGAGGGTCGACACCCTGCTCGGTCGGTAAACTAGCCTTTTGCGGTCCAGACTTGGATCGGGGCGATTACTGTATCTTCCCCCCTCCTCCCTCCCTCATGTCACCCTCTCCACCATAATTACTGAACACCCTCCATGGTGGAGCGACAAGCTTTCAGTCGTTCCTTGTTTTCGTTGACACCCTACATGCTTGAGCTATAATCACCATGGCTTCTCTTGACTATGACTTACTAAAAGTCCAAGTGTC